TCCATTCTCTTCTCCCTCTTTTTCTCCTTCCTCCGCTCCCTCTTCTCTCCTTTTCTCCCTTTAACAAACATTGACTGAGTAGCTGCTGCATGAGAACATATGGGACATGTAAACACACATGCACGTGTGTTTCAGTAGCTGTGACTGCAGCGTGCACAGATGGCTGAATTCCACCTAAGAGAGGGGTGGGGGGTTAGTCAGGAAAGGCGTCACAGAGGTGATGCTTTAACAAAGTTATTCTTTGGTTTCCTCTTTATCCCAACCTCTCAGAATTGTGGCATTGCCTAAAATACAGTGCACTCATTGTCTTAGTTTGAGTTCCCCCTGAGAGCAGGGGCTTTGGAGAAAATCCTGAAGCAGAAAAGCTGAGTCCCTCACAGCATGAGCTTGAGGTGGTCCACTGGCAACATGCATGGAACCATCCACAGCTGTGCTGAAGTCAGGCTGACTGAGAGGATCACCTGCCATCCTGTTAATAAGGCAATTTCTTCAGGGATACTTCCTTCCCTAACCCCTGTTAGGGACTCCTTCCTTTCACACTACTTTCCTGACCGGGACTCAACTTTCTCTAATGTGCAGGCCCTCCAGGGGAATTGGAAAAACTGACAGGGTTAATGTGGGTCTCCCTAATATGCCAGGTACATAGTTTAGCCAGCAGATTGGTGGCTGAAAACAACTTTGATGGAATTAAAAGTCTTCAAGGTATTTCAGACAGCAACTACCTGCTGTGACAGCCAATAGGGACAATATGTCATGAGAAACACACTCTTGCTGTTCGTGAGGAGCTGAGGTCTTCTAATACGCAATTAGCAAAGGATAAAAATTTTTTTAAAAAAGTGTATAGAAATTGAAAATTCATGCTGAATAGAATTTTGTAGATGTAGATTATAGTAGGCGAACTAAACTCATTCACCAAATGTGTTTTGAGCACCTACAATGTGCCAGGCACTGTTCTAGGTGCACATCAGAGAGGAAACAACAAAAATCCTGGTCTTTAAACATGCATTGTAGATGCCCTTAATTGTAGATATCATTTTAATGATAATTCTAAATTTCATCAAAATCAATACTTCAGACAAGAAAAAGATTATAGCCAAGAAAATATTATGGAAGAAATAATTTAAAATATTACAATAGTAATATTTCAGAGGTAAGTCTATGAATGATTTTTACAATTCTTTCCTACTTTTCTGTGCTTTTCACATTTTCCTTAATAGGCGTGCATAACTTTTATAGTGGGGAAGAAAAATTCAAGGATAAGGGTAAAAACCAAGAGACTCCTTGTCTAACCTGATAAGGCTAGAGGAGTTTTACAAAAATTACTTACAGCAGGCATGGACTTCTGAGTCAGATAACCTTGGTTTCTAATTCCAGCACTGCCCCTTATTAGCTATGTGACCTTGGATATGTCACATAACCTTTCTGATTTAATTATAGGATCATAATCTATAAAAATAGAGGTATATGCCAGCCTCAATCTCCAGAGTTGTTAAAGATAATAATTCAACATACGTAAGAAAACTTGAAATAATGTTCTGTACATGGTAGGTGCTCAATGTTGGCTAAATTGAATTGGGAAGGACCCACTAGGATCAAGCCCAGAAGCTCTCATACACTGCTAGTGGGAATATAAAATGGTACTGCCTCTTTAGAAAACAGTTTGGCAGTTTTAAAAAAAAATTAAAAATACATTTACTATATGATCCAGCCATTCCATTCCTAGGTTTTTACACAAGAGAATAGAAAGCATATGTCTATACAAAGATGTTTTCATGCATGTTAGTAGCAGCTTTATTTATCATTGCCCCAAACTGGAAACAACCCAAATGTCCATCAACAGGTAAATGGAGAAATAAACTATGATATATCTGTATAATGGGATACTACTTAACAATAAAAAGGAATGAACGATATGGATGAAATCTCAAAGTAATTATACTAAGAGAAAGAAACCAGGCATAAAACGAGTACATACTGTATGATTCCATTAAAAAACTCAAGAAAATGCCAGTTAATCTATAGTGACAGAAAATAGTTCATTGGTTGCTTGGGGCCAGATACAAGGAAAAGGGAAGAAAGGAGGGATTACAAGTGTCAGTTGGAATCTTTTGTGGTGATGGATATGTTCACTCTCTTGATTGTGGTAGTACTTTCATGGGTGTGTTACAGCTAATGAAACCATATACTTTACTTTAAATATGTCTAATTTGTTATATGTCTATTTCACGTCAATAAAAAAATGTTTCTTAAAATGTTTAGCAGTGGTAGCTGAGTACCATCCAGTTCTTCTGGTCTCATGCAAAGAAGGCAGTTGTTCATGGAGGCAATTAGCCGTATATTCCATTTCTTCTTCCTATTCCTGACTCCCCTTCTTCCCCTGTTGCTATAGGTTAATAGAGAACAATTGTACCTTGAGTGGCACTTTGCAAGCTTTTAAGACCCCAGGCACTACACAAGGAACTAGGAGGTAGAGCAGAAGCACTAAACACATATGAGACCAATTAACATGGGATGTCCTATGAAACCATGACCCTAAACCTCCATAACAAGGAACAAAATCCAAATCTCGTGATGTGTTTGGTTGTACATAAGCAGCCTCAGCAGCTGCTTTTTTTTTTTTTTGTCATTGTTGTAACTACATCTATCATACAACCTTTGCCATTCCAGCTTTTTATAGGTGTGCAACTTATTGACAGCAGTTACATTAATCGACTGTGCAACCGTACCCTTAACCAATGTGATATTTCCATCACTGAGCTGGATGGTGCCTGGCTACCATTACTAACATTTTGATCAATGATTCTATAGAAGAATCCTGATCAAAAGGAGGAAAATGCAGAACAGAATTTCAAATTCTCATGGAATCCAGACTTTCTGGAACAATGAAGTCTAGATGAATCCCTGAAACTATTGCCCTGAGATATTCTTTAAACCTTAAACCAAAAGTATTTAATATTTAAGTCTTCTTAAAGCCAAACAATAGTTTAGCTTAACTAGTAAAGAAAGTCTGCCTTGAGCGTTGTGCTCTTTTAAGATCTATCTATATGGGGTCAAACTGACAATAGCAACTCAAAAGACTAGACAGGAAACTTAGGGGGCAGTGAGTTTATGTTAATGGAGGAGGAACAACTTGGAAAAGGAGGGTGAGAATGGCTGCACAACCTGAAGAATGTAATCAATATCACTGAATTGTACATGTAGAAATTGTTGAATTGGTGTATGTTCTGCTGTGTATATTCTCAACAACAACAACAAAATAAATTATTAAAAAAAAAGTTTCTGAAAAAAAAAAAAGTCAATCCCAGAACTCCCTTCCTTCTCAGTCTTAGACTCTCATACAGGGAAGAGTGAATTAGGTGACCAGTTGATTTTGAGAATCCAGACAAGTTTTTTCCCATAACGTGTGCAGATGGATTCTTAGCAGAGAGAGAAGATTTAAATTTCTCAGTGCGGCCAGTCTAAAGTTATTAAATTTTTAAAGAATGGTATGGATTTCTGTCCAGAACCACAAGACAAAGCTAGAAGACAGGGGCTACATTTTTTGCCTGTCAAGAGCTGATGTAGCAAGTACAGAAATATAAAATGCCTCATCAAAAAATTAATGCCCCAATATTCAGGAGGCGACTGTACATGGGTGATAAATTTCAGATAATAAAGAAAGATACAAATATAAACTATGCAGGCTGATTTTTTTAAAGATAAAACAGTGATACTGATGTCACAGTTAAATGTGTATTAGTCCAAGCAGAGTCTCTTTGTTTTCCATAAAAAAGCCAAACTGGTTTTGCCAGGATTAACAATGACAACTAATAAATCTCAGGAAGCAGCAAATGAATTTTAGGGCCAAACTAAAGGACTAGATTAAATGGATTAATACCCCAACACCCAGCATCAGAAAGAGGGAATTTGTGCTAAGGGTCTGAAAGATGTGATTTTGTTTCAGTCTTGGCTGGCACCAGAGGATGAACCCCCAAAGCCCCAAAGATAGAAATAAGAATTCTGGGCTGGTTTGCTAAATGTTGTTTGGCATTTAAAAACATACAGATATTGTTCATTTGTGCAATCCCTTAGCATTATTAAAACCACTTTAGAATTTTTTCACACTTAAAATGACTCTGGAAAAAAATTAACATGTTTTCTCTGCATCATGTTATTAAAGGATGCTGCTTTTCTAGGTCATTTGAGATTTGATATAGAATGATTGCCCTAGATGCAAAGTCATGCAGTACGTTTTGCTACTGTCTGACTGGCTAAAGTGGTATAATAGAAGCTAGAATCGTACACCGGGGTGCTGAGAGGGACCTTGAAGAATAGCCAATCACGGAAACAGGATATGTGTAGCCAAGCCCTGTAACTCCAGTGTCTAAAAGCTAAGCCTTTGCAGAGTATTAGAAATTAGGGGAGGTTCTCAGAAAGGACTGTCAGGCTATGGGGGAATGTAAAACTTAAGAGAGAATAAGGCAGTGGCTCTGCTTTTCACATATTTGACTTACATAAGCCCCAAGAGAAAGGAAGTCACAATTTATTGAATACCTGTTGTTAGCCTTGTCTCTGGGTGGTAAAAACGGTCAGTGTTCTCGGCTGCTAACCAAAAGATTAGAGGTTTGAGTCCGCCCAAAGGTGCCTCAGAAGAAAGTCCTGGTGATCTTCTTCCAAAAAATCAGCCATTGAAAATCCAGTGGAGCATAGTTCTACTCTGACACACATGGGGTCTCCGTGAGTTGGAGTCAACTCAATGACAACTGCTTTGTTTTTTGATTTGTTGTTAGCCTAGCATATAGTACAAGCCTAGAAAATTAAGTTAACATGTTGTAGAAAAAAGATCCACAACTCTAACAAAGGGTCTTAGAAGGCAGAACATAAATGCTTGAAGAAAAATGCCAACGATTCCCTATCTTCGGTGTGAATACGACATTCCCTAGCCTTAGAATTATGGCTAGCATTCTGACATTTTTCTCTCTGTTTCTGTCCACTGCCCCCCACCCCGACCGCTTTGCTAGGTATCCAGATTAGCTCCTTTACCCAAGCTGACCTGACTTCACGAAATGTTCAGTATATCCATTCCAGTGAGGCCGAGAAACACACAGATGCCTTCAGTTTTACGCTCTCTGATGGAGTCAACGAGGTAGGTGATGAGCTCGATTCCCTCCTTGAATGGGTATTGATTCCTCACAGCCTTCTTTGAGTGGAATGGGTGGAGGGACTGGGGATATGAGATCTTTGTTTTCCTCAGCTCTCAGCTAAGGCTTAGGGACAACCTCTGATAGCCAGTGGGGCTCTTCCCAAGAGAACTTGTAGGTTCCTGGTCAGACAGTCCTGCCAGGAATGGAGTGAAAGGGAAAGTAGAGAGTACCTACTTTCTACTTGTGCGGTGGGTGTAGGGACAGGTGATCCACCTGTACTTTTCTGCCCCCTAGGTGACTCAGACTTTCCATATCACCATTCTCCCCGTGGATGATTCACTGCCCATTGTCCAGAGCCCAGGGATGCGGGTGCAGGAGGGTGTGAGGAAGACCATCACAGAGTTTGAGCTCAAGGCAGTGGATGCGGACACAGAGGTAAGAGAGCTCACCTGGGTTCTCTGGCTGGTGAGAGGCTGATTTGTCAACGTCTATAGCTTTGTGATCCTGCGGTTAGTGGTGAGGTTTTAATTCCTGAAGGATTAAAAATTACTATGGCCTTCTGGAAAGGAGAAACAAATGCATTTGAGACCAAATCATTTTAAACCTTTTCTCAAACCCTAAATACATTTACCCTCTCACCTGATTACATGTAAAAATCCTTTTAGCATGTTGATTTTTTATCATGATTCATAGAAAATTAGGTAGATGGCATTTTACCCCATGTTTTTATTATTCCTTATTAGAGTGACCTATATACTTTTTCCTCCATTTCCCCTCCTTCATCCAGACCTCTCTGGCTGACAAATTATTATTACATCCCCAAAGAACTAGGCTTTGTGCAGTAAAACAGGGCATGTGGAGATGAAGTTTTTATTTTCATGATGCTTCCAGATTAAAGTATCAAACATTCTGATGTAATCTAGCTCCCATAAAAGAGTGCCATTGCACTTATTGATTAGTTCTATGTATACTCGTCTCTGTGCTGGCACGTATTCATTGATTTATTCATTCTTTCAACAAACATTTATTATCTACTACTTGTCCGGCTCTGTTCTAGATACTAAAGACAGAGTTGTAAATAATACAGATAAAAATTTCTACCTTAGTGAGTTTACAGCCTTTTGGGGGTGGGTAAATGGAAAGAACATACAATATCATGTCAGATAGTGATAAGTGCTATGAAGAAAAATAAAGTGAGGTAAGGAGATAGAGAGTGATGGGCAGGTATTTTAGATAAAGTTGTCAGGGTGGGTCTCTGAGGAGAGTATTTGAGCAGATGTCATGAAATGAGAAAGAGGAGAGGCAAGAGGCCAGAGAGGAACCCTGGGGCCAGATCACAGAGGGCCTTGTTGGCCCAGGTGAGGCCTTTGCTTTTTATTCTAAGTTGGTGGGAAACCATTGTAAAAGTCTTAAGCAGGGTTTTATGCCTCTTTCTTTTCCCCTGTACAGGTCACCTTAGAAGCAGCAATTCAAAATGAGAAATTAACTGCTCTCCTGATGCGTATGGAATTCTGTATTTAAGAGTTTTAGAAAAGTAGGGGAAAATGGATGGAAAAGAAATGAATTGTTTTTAAAAGTCTAGTTCCTATCATCCTGGTTAAAAATAAAAGGGAACTTTATTGAGCCAATTCCAACTCATTGTGACTCCATGTATGTCAGAGTAGAACTGTGCTCCATAGGCTTTTCAATGGCTGATTTTTTTGGAAGTAGATAGCCAGGTCTTTCTTCCAAGGTGCTTCTGAGTGGACTCGAACCTCCAACCTTTCAGTTAGCAGCCAAGCTCATTACTGATCTTTTAAAGATTAAAAATTCAGGTTTTCCCCAATGACCTAAAAAGAGCCAGTTTAAATGTCTTAGTCCTACAACTGAAGGCACCAGAATATAAATCCAATTGTAGTAACCAATGTCGTTTCTCTCTTTAGCTTTATTTTTGGTATCAATAAAGAAAATGCAGTCTTTATTTTATAATTGTGTGTAGGTTCTGCTACCCTTGACCAGCTATTGGCTGTCCCTCACTCATCTGGTTTCTATTACCAACTTCCCTCCCCTCTTTTTGCCTCCTCGTCAGGCTGAGTCTGTCACATTCACCATTGTGCAGCCCCCACGTCATGGCACCATCGAGCAAACCACCAATGGACAGCATTTCCACCACACCTCCACCTTTACCATGGAAGACATCTACCAGAACCGGGTCAGCTACAGCCATGATGGTAGCAACTCCTTGAAAGACCGGTTCACCTTCACTGTTTCTGATGGGACGAACCCCTTCTTTATTATTGAGGAAGGAGGAAAAGAGGTGAGGGGCAACGACAATGGAGGGGGAGACATAGCAATGCATGCCAGATGTTAGCTAGATGAAAACATGAGATTTTTACATCAAGTATAACATGGTTCAAGTTCTTGTTCTTTCACCTACTAGAAGATTGACCTGGCAAATAATTTACCCTCCCTAAGCCTCAGTTTTTTATCTGTAAAAGGGATACAATAATAATTACAAACTTCAATTAGTTTGATCTAAGGATCAAAGGAAGTAATCCACATAAAGCGCTTAACAATGTTGGCAAATATAGTCAGCAGTTAATAAAAGGTGATACCCATTGCCGTCTAGTCGATTCCAACTCATAGCAACTCTATAGGACAGAGTAGAACTGTCCCATAGGGTTTTCAAGGAGCGCCTGGTGGATTCGAACTGCCAACCTTTTGGTCAGCAGCTGAGCTCTTAACCACTGTATCACAAGGGCTCCAATCAAAGGTGATAGTTGTTGTTATTAATATTACTGTTGTGGATTTCTCCTTTTCCTTTTATGCACCGTTTACTCTTTGAATTTGTCCCGAGATTATCTTTTATGGGTCCCCTCAGTCCAGCTACCGTCTGAGTTTCATGAGGAATAACAGCCCAGTGGTTAAGAGTTTGGCTTTTGCTTCCAAAAGATTCTGGTTCTGCCACTTATTAGCTGAGGGGCTTGGTAAATCATTTAACTGTTCTAAGCCTCAGGTTTCCTGTCTGTAAAATGGGGATGATGCCAATGCTCCTAATGTATATAAAGCACTTAGCCCAGTGCCTGGTATGCAGGAAGCATTTGATAAATCACCACTGTCATCATTTTAGGACCAGCTTGTGAAATAGGTCAAGATGCTTTTCTCTTGAGGTCATTCAACTGTCAAGCTTGGAAATTGCTCCATTCTAACATCAGATATTAGGAGAAACTTTAAGATCCCCTTCACTACCATGCCACTTCTTCCCATCACTGCCATTTTCACTCCTTCCTTCATTCCTTAGCCAGGTGTCCTGTAGTACCCTAAACCTCCCCTGGGAACAACTGCAGCTAAGGGGAAAGGCAGGCCAGTGGGCACCCTTACATCACCCAAGTCTGAGTCCGACTTGCAGAAGCAGTTTTATGAGCAGCAGCATCACACCCTCCCATACTTCCAGGAAAACAAAAAGATCTGTTCCTCAGCCCTGCAGAGTTCCTTTTCTCCTTTGATGATGAATGATTATTTTCCTGGAAGAAGGTTTCTCCTGCATCCATTAGAGAGAGGCAGCCCCCAAGAAGGTCATTCTCAGTTGGCCTGTGTGTTTGTGGGATAGCTCTTGGGATTTCCCTGCCATTTCAGTATCTGCACTGCATCACCACCTGGCAGGTCACTGGTTTTATTTTTTCTCTCCCAAACTGTAGTTACTCCCAAGTTAGTTTGACTTTCTGAAGAGAAAAAAAGATTTCAGGATGTATTAGCAAGAGGGCTACCTCTTTGATAAACATGAAAGGTCACAGCAGGTCTCCAGAGGGACCTTGTCATTTAAAAAATGGAAATTATTTAGAAGGTGAGTTGTAGAAGATTGAAAAGCCAGCATCTTGCTGCCCTGTGTGGCAGCTTGCTGTATTCGATCAGCAACAGTGAAGTGCTGGGTCAGACTCCCTGTGTGTGTGTCTGTGTGAGAATAAAATGATAAACTAAAATTCCTTTTCTTTTCTCTATCCCCACAAATTTATTTCACCTCTACGTTTCTTCTACCCTTTCCCCCACATAAATAGTTCTCCCTCAAAAAAATAAAAGAAGAAAGGAAGGAAAATAGATCTCTTTCCATGAACACTTCTTTTCATATGTGACAGAACCCCACCTGGAGACTTTAACATTAACATTTATTTTAATTTTTTCATGGTAGTAAAAATATGCATAACAAAACATTTACCAATTCAACAATTTTTACGTGTAAAATTCATTGACAGTGATTACATTCATCATATTGTACAGTCATTACCACTATCCCTTTCCAAATTATTCCACCACCATTAATGGAAACTCAGTGCCCCCTAAGTAATGACTCCCCTTCCCCCACCTTCCACCACCTGGTAACCACTAATAAGCATTAGTCTCTATACATTTGTCTATTTCATATTAAGTGGTAATCATACAACATTTGTCCTTTTGTAACTGACTTCACTTGACAGAATGTTTTCAAAGTTCATCCACGTTGTAGCATGTATCAGGACTTCGTTTCTCTTTATGGCTGAGTAATATTCCGTTGTATGTATATACCACATTTTGTTTATCCATTCATCTGTTGATGGACATTTCGGTTGTTTCCACCTGTTGGCTATTATGAATAGTACTGCAATGAACATTGGTGTACAGGTTTCTCTTTATGTTCCTGCTTTCACTTCTTCTGGGTATATACCTAGGATTGGGATTGCTAGATCATCTGGTATTTGATGTTTAATTTTTTGAGGAACCACCAGGCTTTTCCACAGCAGAATTACCATTTTGCATTCCTGTCAGCAGTGGATTAGGGTTCCAATTTCGCACATCTTCGCTGGTACCTATTATTTTCCATTTTTTTGACCATTGCCATTCTAGTAAGGGTGAAGTGGTATCTCAATGTGGTTTTGATTTTCATCTCCCTAGACCTTAACATTTTAATGATAGTTTTCATCAACTTCTTACAAAATTTTTAACAAGGGTTATTGAAAGAAAAATACCTGTTTACTGTTTCACCTCAGAGTAGTATTGAACTCAACTAAAGAATGCATAGGTGTGTGAAAAGTAACTTCCATTGTTGAATGATGAAATTCCAGCAGGAGTGCCACTTGCTTCTTGCTCCTTTTCTTCCCGTGTTATTTTCACTTTATCAATCAGCGTTTTCCCTTAAGCCTCATGTCAAGTGCCATAAGGGTTGGAAACTGGCTCAGTTGCTCATTTGTAATCTCTGATGTGTAAGGGCTTCCAGCGTTGTGGGCCCTGCACCCAACATACTTCAGGTGTCTGTGAATGATGAGTTTTCTTGTCTGGATTCCCCCCGCAGATTATGACAGCAGCACCTCAGCGGTTCCGAGTAGATATCCTCCCAGTGGATGATGGCACTCCTAGAATCGTGACCAACCTGGGGCTCCAGTGGCTGGAGTATATCGATGGCAAGGTAAGGCAGATGGGAAATATTTGCCGCATTCACACTAACTAATTTATGCCACATCCTTATTTGTGGAATGATCTATGAATAGAACTCCAGTTCATCTCATATGTTTATCCTTCCATAAGTGTGCTGATTTTCCTAAAATTGATTCGGAAGGTGATTATTTGGTTGTATATGTAACTGTTGTGTTGTAGCTTCCCACTGAACCAGTCAGGTTTTTAAAAATATGTAAGCCAAAATTAATGCAACTTCCTCTCATACCCTGTTTGATTTTTTTCTGTGTATTCAGAATGATCTCATTCTCTCCTCAGTACTCTCCAATTAGGCGTCTGCCTCCCACTCCTATCCCACTGCAGTGACACTTATCAGCATCACCAGTGTCCTCTGTTTTGCCAAATCTAAAGTGAATTATCTGTCCTTACCTTAGTACACCTGTTGTTGTTGTTAGCTGCTGTTGAATCAGCCCCTAACTCATAGTGACCCCATATACAATGGAACAAAATGCTGCTGGGTCCTGCACCATCCTGATGATTAACTGTGGATGGGACCACTATGATCCATAGGCTTTTCAATGGCTGGTTTTTTAAGCAAATTGCCAGACCTTTCTCCCTAGTTCATCTTACTCTGAAAGCTCCACTGAAACCTGTTAGTCATAGCAACACACTGACAGATGGGCTGCCATGGCTTCTCATGAGGTGCATTGGCTGGGAATCGAACCTGGGTCTCCTGCATGGAAGGCAGACCACCAATGCCCTCTAATAGACCTAGTAATTCTTAATGCTGTTGATCACCCCCTTCATTTCTTTGTTGAATGAATGAATGACCAAATTAAAGTTTAGCCAGTAGATTTAGGCAATAATGAGGTACAGTGTATTTATCTTACTCTATTTCAAGCACTGAACCTGATTCCTGTAAGGTATGAAGTGGACATCTTCCCCGTATCATTCTTTCAAGTTCCAACCTTCTTTCGAAGCTAAACTCAAATCTCACCTCTCTCCAAAATCCCTCCCTCCCCAACTCTAACCACAAAACCAAATCCATTGCCTGTCGAGTCTATTCCAACTCATAGTGACTCTGTGGGACAGAGTAGAACTCTGGGTTTCCACGGCTGTAAATCTTTACGGAAGCAGACTGCCACATCTTTCTCCCAAGGAGTGGCTAGGGGGTTCGAACCGCCGAACTTTTGGTTAGCAGCTGAGTAGTTTAACCACTGTGCCACCAGGGCTCCTTGTCCCCAACTCCAGATGGGATTAATCTCTCCCTGTCCCCCAAAATGTATAGCACTCTTTGTATCTCCCATTGTGGTACCAGCCATTATCTCCTTGCTCCTGAGCCTTTCTTTCCCAATAAAGCTTGGTACCTTGATGGCAGAGGCTGAGATGGTTTCTATCTTTGAAGCCTATCCAAGCCTAATAGAATTCCCCATGCAGTAGGCACTCAGTAAATCATTGTTGAACTGAATTAAATCTGAGTCAGAGGGTCCTGCTCCTGCTTTATTCCTGCCTCAGGAATTAAATTTAACGGGTTTCTATTCCAGGCAACCAACCTGATCACCAAGAAGGAACTGCTGACCATGGACCCAGACACGGAGGACTCGCAGCTTGTCTATGAGATGACGACGGGCCCCAAGCATGGCTATGTGGAGAATAAGCTTCAGCCTGGCACAGCTGTTGCTGTTTTCACCCAGGGTAGGGACTTGGGGAACTGAGATATCGGAGGAACCTATTCTCATGCCACTCTCCCTACCTCCTGGATCTTTCTCACAGCCACTTCCATCTACTTACCCCAAGTAACCTATTTGCAAACAAATAGGTCTTTTAGTATCAAACCATCCTACTTTTAGATTTTACCTCTCTTGATTTTTTTCTTGTTACAGAAAACCTTAGGGAATACAGTTCTATTTTGATACACATGGGCTCACCATGAGTTGAAATCAAGTGCAGCAACTGGTAATGCTGAACTATGGCAAAGAAAAATATATCTTTACCATACTTCCACAGTTCCCAAATTGCTTTATGTTTTGGCCAGATTTTTCTGGAAAGGATCACATGATACTGCTTGGTTTTCTTTGAAAAGAAAGGCAGAAATTACAAAGACTTTATGAAAGATCTGTGATCCTGTGAGGTTTATTTTTTATGCCATAAGGGTTATGGATTTTTTCAAGACTTTAGCAAAGAAATTAAAACCAACATGTATAGTTTGCTCAACAGAAACATTTTCCTGTTTTGAATCACATCAAGCAAACCATTTTGTGTTTTAGTATTTTTAACCTTGTCAGAGGACCTGATAGGGAGCAGTCATTGCAAAGTTGCATCTTAAAATTCATGCACTGTATTTACTTTTTTCTCCCCATCTTCAATCTTGTATTCTCTCCTAGGTTCCACATGGCTGTGTCTTGTGTACAGGCTGTGTGTCTTGTATACAGAACCTTCTTTAGAAGGAATTAGGGCTGAATGTTGGCAGATACAGAGGATAGGGCCAGAGATTTTTCACTGTCAGCTCTCTCAGATTTGCCTTTAAATATTCCACAGAAATTTACTGAAGTGCTTCTTTGCCAAGACCCTGGGATTCTCAATCTACAACAACACAAGGGTACTTTCTGTATAAAGACAAGTCTTTTGTTACACAGAGCTATGGGATTTTATTTTAAAATCTGGCAGACACATTTATTTTTGAGAGTACTTGGGAAAAGAAGTTCTGTCTGTAACCCATTAGAAGAATAAATTGAGTATGTTGACTTGGGAATTTATGAGGCCATCTTGACATCCCTGAGTTAATTCACAGTGACTCTTTTTTTCCCCACAGAGGATGTGAACTTGGGGTTGATTCGTTATGTGTTGCATGAGGAGAAAATCCATGAGATGATGGATAGTTTTCAGTTTCTGGTGAAAGACAGTAAACCTAATGTGGTCAGTGACAATGTCTTCCATATTCAGTGGTCCCTCATCAGCTTTAAATATACCAGGTACAAGTGTTATTGTGTTTTATTCTTGAGAAATTAATTGGGCAGCAGAGAAAATAAGCATGTAGCACCCTGGGGCTCAGCTCTAGTCATCTGATGATGATGGTGGTGGTGATGATGATGGTAGTGGTAATGATGATGATGGCAGCAATAACAATAATAATAAAAATAATAATTGCAGCAATATTTATTGAATACTATAGATATCAGGCACTGTATTAGGTACCTGGAGCCCTGGTGGTGCAGTGGTTAAGAGCTACAGCTGCTAACCAAAAGGTTGGCAGTTCGAATCTACCAGCTGCTCCTTGGAAACCCTATGGTGCAGTCTTCTCTGTCCTATAGGGTCTCTATGAGTCAAAATCGACTCAAAGGCAACGGGTTTGGTTTTGGGTTGGTATTAGGTACCCCACATATATCATTTTTTTTTATCCTTGCAGTTATGAGATGAGTACCATTGTTGGCCCACAGTGACAAAGCAATAGAGACAGAAAAAGGTTGAGTAAGTTGCCCAAGTTCACACAGCTAATAAGCAGTAAAACCAGGATTTAAGCCCAATGAGCCAGAACCCATGCTCTTAAGCATAATTCTTTACTGCCTTTAATACAAGTATTCTGGCTTCTGGCCTCAAGATTTAAAAGATAATCCAGTACAACTGATATGAAAAATAAAATGTATTCATTCATAAAATGTATTCAAAAAATGTATTCAAGTACTAAAAATAAACACTGCCCCATAATAAGAATACCTTCACCTTCAATCTGTATTCTCCCTGTTGTCAAGCTTGCATACTCCCTTAGCTCCTCTGGTTTTCATTGGATCATATAGGTTTAGGCTTAAATTCATAGCCTAATGTAGACAACTGTTTAAGATGCTTGCTTAGTTTATTTGGGGAGTTAGGCAAATGGAGAGACACTAATCAGTAAACATGGGTAAGCACATTGCTGATTTTATAGGTTTAATCACAACAATGATTATAATTTTCTGAGGAGGGTAATAATTCTTTAAATCTACATTTCAGAGACTCATCATTCTAAGAAATCAATTCCATGATAATTCAGATGAAAATTGGAAATTTTCATGTGGGGGAAGGGCTTGACTTCATGTGCCTCAGACATAGGTTCTTTCACTCTTACTCACACATACTTGGAGAATCAGAGGAAAAATCTACGTCTTTAGATATGTAGTCTTTTGTTGTAGGTAATTCAAACCTTTTTGTTTTGAAGGTTGTATCTCCTTCAAAATTAAAAAAAAAATGGTCACAAAACAGATCTCAATAAATTTTAAAATATTGAAATTATACAAAGTATCTTCTCCAACAACAAGGAACTGAAACTAGAAATTAATTAACAGAAGGAAAACTGGAGAAAACACAAATATGTGGAAATTAAACAGCAACACACTATTCAACAACCAATAGGTCAAGGAAGAAATCAAGAGAGAGATCAAAATTAAATAAATTAAATAAAACTGATCTTTTATTTATTTATTTTGGACAACCCTTTAATGTTTAATGGACTAAATTGTACAGAGGGCCCCAAAGTTTGCACTGAGGAATTCCTTCTCAGAGGCCCACGGCCTGCAACCCTCACAGCAACAAGGCCAAGCAAAGCCCAGTACGTGCTCCACTCATCTGCGCCTTTTCTAAACCTACATAATTAGTATCAATTATTAGCACATGCAGAGTTGTTGCCTACTTTGCAAAAGCAATACAAATTCCTACCAACAAGCTAAGTTAACGTCATCACTCCCCACTGTCATAAAACTCCGTTTATCTAAACATCTTTGCTATCTAGGCCTAAGTAACATTTCTTAACATTGGAGCTCTCCTGGCTCAGTTACACACTTCCTGGAAAATCCAGCCCAGTCAATTCCCACCTAAGTAAAGTCATTAATTGCCTTCTGAGCAGCATTCTTCTCTACAAACCCATGACCTATTCTAATTACTCTACCACACGAGGGAGAGATTGTTTGTAATTTCTTCGTGTCCTGAAATCTAAAGTTCATGGCTCATATGTGTGGTCCATCTTCTAAATGACCTGCAACTGTCTTTCAAAATGAGGCATACAGCATTCTGCATCCTCAGCTTCCTTTTCACTTAATTTTGTAACTGTTCCAGGTAAGCATGTTCCCTGCATTTATAACCTGGCTTCTTAAAGGAACCAAACTTCCTCTTCTCTGAACTGCCTCACACCAATGACCAAACAGAAAAGGCAAGCATTAAACAAGTGGTTTCTTTACAGTCATGGGGCAGATATTCAGAGACTGCCTTTTTGTGTGCTTCTAGCTACAATGTCAGTGAGAAGGCGGGGTCTGTCAGCGTCACAGTACAGAGGATGGGGAACCTGAATCAGTACGCCATCGTCCTGTGTCGTACCGAGCAGGGCACCGCTAGTTCCAGCTCCAGAGTCAGCTCTCATCCTGGGCAGCAGGACTACGTGGAGTATGCTGGCCAGGTGGGTGAGGGAGGGGCCTTCTATTCCTGAACTTCTAGGCAGGCTCTCACAGGGGTTGTTGCATGGTTGTAGGCTATTGTGGCATCTTCCCACTTCTTTTTACCCCACCTCCCTTTTCATTGACATCCTTCCTCAAGTAGTTTTTCTGTTTCCTTCCCACCTACTTTTTTCTTCACAGTCCATCTAATCCTCGCTACGGTTTAACTGGAAAAGCTTGGGTGGTGGTCTAGCTTTGCAGTCTTTACATGTTGGTAGGGTATACTTCATGACAAAAAGTCTTTAAGGCATCATGTTGTACCCTAAGCCTTTAATATCCTAGTGCTCCCTCTCACCTCACCTCCTTTACCTGAAGGAAGGGAAGAGAAAGTGTAGGGAGACCAGTTGGGAAGCTCTGGAACAGGCCAAGTGAGAGATGATGGACTTGAATGATAAAATGAAGATAGAGAGAAGTGGATGGATTCAACAGATGATTAAGAGGTAAAATTGATGAGATTTAGCAGCAGGGTAGTTACAGGGTAGGAGGGAGAGATGGATGATGATGCCTTTTGCTAAGAGGAGACACCATAAGAGGAGCAAGTTTGGTGAGAGGGTGATTGTGAGTTTGCTCAGGAGTGTTGAGTGTGAATGGCTTAGAGACAACAAGTTAACACACACACACATATATGTGTGTGTGTGTGTGTGTGTGTGTATATATATATATATATATATATAGGAGCCTTGGTGGCGCAGTGGCTAAGCGCTCAGCTGTTAACCAGTAACCAAAAGGTCGGCGGTTCGAATCCACTAGCTGCTCCTCGGAAACCCTATGGGGCAGTTCTACTCTCTCCCGTAGGATGCTATGAGTTGGAATCAACTTGATGGCAACGGATTTGGTTTTGGTTTGTGTGTGTGTGTGTGTCTGTTTGTGTATGTATGTGTGTGTGTGTGTGTATATATATATATATATACAAAAAAAAAATTGCTGTCGAGTCAATTCCAACTCACAGCGACCCTGTAGGAGAGAGTAGAACTGCCCCATAGGGTTTCTCAGGAGCGACTGGTGGGTTCAAACTGTCAACCTTTTGGTTAGCGGCCGAGCTCTTAACCATTGCTTCACCAGGGCTCCTATACACACACAACACTCAGACACACACACGCACACGTATACAGTTGCAGTCTTACCACTTTTCTATCACTCTATATTAAGAATCCGCCCTCATAAATACCTAGAACGTGTTTCTTTTCGATTTTATAGGACTGGAAAAGAAACAACCATTTTTTTATGATTTGCATGTTTATTCAAATTATGTACAGATATGTACATATACTATTCAAGCAAAGATATGGGTAAAATAATTCACTTTTACTTGTACTCCTTGGAACTATTTCCAGCTTTTGCATCTGCACTTCCTCGTATTCATGTTGCAATATCAATTTTCTGATTCCTTCCACATTTTATAGTCTCTGGCTTTCAGAAAACGTTTATTAGGCTGATGTAATTATTTTAGTGGAAATATTTGAGTATTCCTTCTCTAATAGGTTTCCACAGATTCCGGCTTTTTCAGGTTTACGTGTGTGTGTGTGTGTGTGTGTGTGTGTGTGTGTAAGTGTGTAGGGAGCACAGAGAGGAGTTCTGGGATAGAGATAAATAAATTTGCCAGTCATCTTTGTACCAGTGGTAATTAGAGTCAGGGTGTGAGAGGGAGAGAAAAAAGAGAGAGTAAAAACAAGAGAGAAAGAACAGGACTTAAATAATAAACTGCTTTACAGCAGCGTGCCGTGTATTTGTCATCTTCTATATATGGCACAATGCCTGGTACTTAATAGGTATTTATTAAATGTTTATTTCAAAGCAATTTAATTTTTCTTATGGCAAGATAAGTCTCTGTAAAGAGAAGTAGGTGCAGTCCTTTGAGACATTACAACTGGACTAAGGTAAGGCCTCGTATGTCCAATTAAAGTGAGGAATTAGAAAAGAATGGATAAGCTAAAGAGTCAGCAAAATGATGGGACAGGATATGTCCATGCATTTTTCAAGGAAAGACAAAAGACAGTGTATTCTAGAGTCTAAATAGAAGTCTATTGAATGTTTCACTGGGGGTGGGGGGGCATATTTTAAAATGTGGAGCTTAGTAAAAATTTAATTAGTTGATTAGATATATAATAATAATTTTCTGTTTGATGAAAATCATGTGTTTACAGATTTGTGTGCCCCTAGAGGTTTATGACTATCTTTGCACATGCTTCAGCTGTCTAAGTTTACACAAAGTGCAGTCAAGCCTGTTGCCTTTTCAGTTTGGGGCAAGTCCATAGCCCTGGAGTCATTCAAAGGTTTTATCTTTTTCTTGCACAAAGTAAAATCAGAATAAATCTCGGCAAGTTTCCTAAAATTATTTCGGTTTTACCAGAATAAGTATGTTCACATTATAGAGCTAGCCCATTTTAATGGCAAAAGGATTTAGCCAAATGTAAGTTAAAATTCAGTCTGGCTTGTTTATAATGTAACTTTCTATGAATTGACTGAGATTCTATATCAGTTTTGTCAATTTTATTTGTAGAAGTAATAAGGTGATGGTATTAATTATAATGTATTATATTAGTTCAGTGCTTTCATTACAAATTACCTCTTTTAGTCCTCCTGTAAGGATGTGAAGTAGGAGTATTATTATTGTTATTTAGCAACTGAGGAATGTGAAGTTGGTAAAGTTTCATATAGCCTTACTCAGGGACATACAACTTGAAAGTAATGGAACAAGGACTTGAGGCCAGAACTTCACACACCAAGTTCAGAGATCTTTCCAGTTTAACTTGGCACAAATAGGAGCGTAACTGAATAATCAAGGGATGACTGTTGCTGTCCCTAGTAAGTGAATAAAACAGGGTATGAATAGCCACTTACATGTCTTCCTACAGTCACCGAGTGGTAGAAGATGTCTTTCTTCTGCATGTCCCTATAGAATAAATCAGCCCCTGATTTACAGATGAAGAATAGGAAGAGGTGGACAAGTGTTCCAGGTGATGTAGCAGGAGGTTGGAGCTGGAAGAAACAGCTATTTCATCCAGTGCTCTGACCACCAGACCTGAGTTCTCTTTTCCCAAGATGCTCTGGGGAAACAAAGCAGAAACTGAGGCACAGCTTAACTCTTTGTTGTTTCCTTTGCAACAGGTGCAGTTTGATGAGCGAGAGGACACCAAGTCCTGCACCATCATCATCAATGATGATGATGTGTTTGAGAACATTGAGAGTTTCACCGTGGAGCTCAGCATGCCAGCATATGCCTTATTAGGGGAGTTCACCCAGGCGAAGGTCATTATCAGTGACACTGAGGACGAGCCTACATTAGAGTTTGATAAGAAGACCTACCGGATCAACGAGAGTGCTGGTTTCCTGTTTGCACCTATTGAAAGAAAAGGTCTGTTGATGCCAAGGGTGACAATGACCTATAATAATAGTTAACATTTATTGTGCCCCTTTTATGTACCAAGTGCTCATGTATCATATTAACTTATATGTCGTAAGTGCATGTGTTAACTCATTTGATCCTTAAAACAACCCCTATGATGTGATGTGATCCCAATTTTACAAATAGAAATCATGCATAAATGGCTTTAATAACTTGTCCATGGTCACATGCTTAGTAAGGTGAATGAAACTGGGATTTCAACCCAGGCAATCTGGCTCCAGAGTCTGAACTTTAATCATCATTCTGTGCAACTATAATAGCTCATAGTTACTGGACTTAAGTACCAAACAGGATTAATTTGCTATTGTATAGGAGTTGGAGTGTGGAATCTAAAATCACAGCTCTGGAGCAGAAACATGGACTCAGTCACTTCATTCACAGTTCCATTGGTGGTGGGATCCTTGTCTACTTCTTGAACTAAATTCTTATCTGGTTTAAGTCCTCCCTAGAAAGTAAATTCATCCAGTTTGTGAGATGGCAAGGTAGGGGGAAAGACAAAATGTGGGAAATCTTACCTTGCTTTGTGTAGTAAATTTGATTAACCACTAAAGAGAGCTTGTGACACTCCACAGAACCTTTAATATGTCAGTGTAAACTGGGACTCTGTAAAGTTTTTCAAGCTTATTTCATGCTGGAAGCCTTTGTTCTCTTGCCAAAACTAGTGTTCCGTGTTAGCCTGCTTTGAGGAAATGCTGAGCTAGCCTTTCAATGAGTTACCCTGCTTCTTGTTTAGGACCCTGTTCCTGAAACCTAATACCAAACAAGGACAGAGGCACTAGAAAAAAAAGAGCCTACTCTACCTCAATTTCTCCATCGGTCTAGGAAAGCTTATGCCCCCCACCTACTGTTTTACCAGGGCTTTCAGGAGAGTTTGGCAGGATAATCCATTACTCAAAATATGGTAGTGACATTCATCATAAACTGCTCATAATGATTCTAGCCATTGTTAGTACTATCAGAAGGTTTCTCTTCCTAGTTAAGTTGTTAGAGCCTCCATTTACTCTTAATTTGGACTAGAAGACTAGTTATATTTAGACTTCCAAAGTGTTCATGAACTCAGTATTCTTAATCAGTCACCCACTACATAAAAAATTTACTAGCCTTGGCCAAGGAGGGAAGTTACAGTTTGTAAGAACTGGCTTAATATTTTCACCTTAGTTCTTGTAAGTAAGAAAATGTGTTCAAAAATTTCCCAATGCAAGAGTCCAATAGAGAGCTCAGACGAGAAATAAACTGCATGTGGGAAATCAAGGACAATTCTTGAGGGGTTGAAAATCAAAACAAAGATCACATGGGTTTATGGTTATACAATATTGAGACTTTAAAACACATGGAAATTACATCCACATTCAAAACCACAATGTGACTATAGATGATGATGTCAGGTGTCTTTATTGAATCTGCTGACTGGGGATTCATGTAACAAACACTGTAGATAGCACAAAACTTTGGTGATGTCACTTGGAAAACAAGCACACCCCTCTGACTGTTCTGGGCCAGCAAGCCAGGCCCAGTGCAGAGTGTCACTGAGGGAAATGGCAGCACTAATAAGTAAAGTTATTTGTACAGAAATGTGCGTTTTATTTTGTTTTGTCTTTAAAAAAAAATAAAAGTAAGCCTGTTTCTCTCTGGGAATTAAAGTGCAGGAGTTTATTCAGAAAGGCAGTGAACTGTGCTCATAACACTACCTTCAGGACACAATTACTTCGCCACTTAAAGTACCAAATATGTCTCTTATCTTTCCCCCCGCCCGCTGTGGTTTTCGATGGTGGGCAATGAGTCTTGTGAATTAACAGAGCACAAAATTCACAGAATAGGAAATTCATTTTGAGTTGTTTGGTGAAGTATCTAGGGGTATATTAAATCCTCAAGTGGCTTATACTACAGGCTTAAAAGAAACTTCAATTTAAGAAGGTTTCATGCCAGAGTTTGAACAGAAATAGTGAAGGACTGTGTCAGAGGGAATTAAGCTCAGTAAATTACCAAAGATTTAAAAATTTAAGAAGTGCTCATTCAAGTGCTTTGGTTTTCTTGCCACTTGCATTTCAGGAGACTCGAGCAGCATTGTATCCGCAGTTTGCTACACGGTCCCGAAGTCAGCTATGGGAAGCAGCCTCTATGCTCTAGAATCAGGCTCTGATTTTAAATCTAGAGGGAGGTCTGCTGAGAGCCGGGTGATATTTGGGCCTGGTGTCACCATGTCAACCTGTGATGTCATGATCATTGATGACAGCGAGTATGAAGAGGAAGAAGAGTTTGAGATTGTCCTGGCAGATGCTTCTGACAATGCCCGCATCGGAAGGCTGGCATCAGCCAAGGTGCTTATTAATGGTCCCAATGATGCCTCCACTGTGTCCCTGGGCAACACAGCATTCACTGTCAGTGAGGATGCAGGTAATGGACAGCATCTCTGGGGCTCCATCACCATCTCCTGATACCGTTCTTGAATAATTTCCTCCTTGGAGTTGAGAACGCCGTTAAGACATTGAGAATTCTATTCCTCAATGATACCATTGTTGGTCTGAGGCATTAGAACCAAGAATGAAAGGTGTCAAGTATAGGGGTGTTTCATTTTTCTGGGTCTGGTTATGGCATAGTGGTTAAGAGCTACGGCTGCTAACCAAAAGGTCGCCAGTTTGAATCCACCAGCCACTCCTTGGAAACCTTATGGTGCATTTCTACTCTGTCCTATAGGGTCACTATGAGTCAGAATCAACTCAGTAGCAATGGGTTTGGTTTTTGGTTTTTGGGTTATTGATGGCAGATAATTGGTTAATGAGGCTTAGAGCTTCATTAGCTGATCCTCTGTGGCCCAGAGGGAGGGCATGGCGCTGAGTACTTTGGCTCGTAAAGAAGGTGAATTTGACTTATTGAGGATGGAGGTGTGTTTTTTAGGGTACTGCTGGCTGCTGAAACAAACTCCAGTTTCAGTGTCTTAACCCAATGGAAATTTCTCTTATATATAACAGTCCAAAGCAGTTGGTGGACAGATTTCTTCCATATGGTATTTCAGAGACCCAGGGTCCTTCCCTACTGTGGCTCCATCATCTGCAAGGGCCTCGAAGTCCTCTGCCTGATACTGGCAGACATACTGCTGGCAGAAGTATCAACAGCTATGCTGAGTACCTACAGACCTTGAGCCGGATCAAGGTCTTTCACCTCTTTGAAGGGTTAATGAGGCATAATGGGAAGTAATATCTTTAAGCTCTTGCTGTATACCAGGCACCATGCCATGGGCATTCCATGTGTTCTCATTTAATCTTCTGTGGAAGAGATAACATATAGAAAAGCAAATGGAGGCCCAGAAAGGCTAAATAAATCATCAGAGATCAAGCAATTAATATAATGGCAGAGCTGGGATTAGGGCTCAGATCTTTCTGTTGTTGTTAGATGCCATTGAGTTGGTTCTGACCCATAGCGACCTTATGCACAACAGAAAGAAACACTGCCTGGTCCTGCACCATCCTCACAGTCGTTGCTATGTTTGAGCCCATTGTTGTAGCTACTGTGTTAATCCATCTCATCGAGGGTCCTCCTCTTTTTCACTGACCCTCCACTTTACCAAGCATGATGTCCTTTCTACTCTACTACATTTCCTTTCACATATACCAAATCCCTAGCCGTGACTACAGATCATCTCACAGTATATTGGCTAGAGAAAGGTGATGGTTGGTGGACTTTTCATGTAGCTTCACTCTGACCTTGATTGTGAAATAGATAAAATTTACATGTATAACTTTAGGACAGTATAATGTATGATGTCACAGTAGACTAGAAGATGAGCTTCATTCCTAAGATAAGCAATAAACACGTATGGTTTAAGTAATGATGTGTGCACCACTTGGATAAAATAGGGAAATCAACCCAGTTAGAAACATTTAATTAGGAGCATTCGACTTCAGGCCCCACAGAGTCCCCTAGCTGGTTCCTCTTTAATTGACTATTTTCTTGCTTATCCCTGAGACCCTCCTCTCTGAGTTTCTTCTTCCTAAATAGGTTTGAGATGTTTTTCACTGAACCTCCCTCCCAAGTTCATTGTTCTTCCTCTGTGAACAGTCTCCTTTATGAAGCCACAAAACCCTTCTGACCTAAGGGCTATCTCTCCAGTACTATCTCCATGAGACACTTCTCTGGGTCTTCTCTTGATCTGAGTGTCTGTAGTGGAATCTCTCAGCCTCCCTCAGAGGAGGTAGATAGAGGAGCAGTGGGTTAAAACTATTGCTGTTAAGAGGGAGAACATTGTATTGAAAAACTCACTGATTTTCTGACTCAAGGTTGACCACTGAAATCTCTGTTACTGTCAATTCAGGCACAGTGAAGATTCCAGTTATCCGACATGGTACTGACCTTTCAACCTTCACGTCTGTCTGGTGTGCAACACGGCCCTCAGACCCAGCTTCCGCCACTCCAGGAGTTGACTATGTTCCTAGCTCTAGGAAAGTAGAGTTTGGGCCTGGTGACACTGAGCAGGTGAATATGCAGCATCAAGGGTTCATAAAATCATAAGGCTGGTTGGGTCCATTAATGTTGTCTTTAGTCTCCTTTCCAAACTCTCTTCAGGACTCTCAACTCCCCTTGCAGTATTACTATCTTCCCTTTCTTGAAAGCATATAACTCTCCAAGTGACATTTTCAGCATCAAATATCATGTACCACCGATTTAGGGTAGAAAATACACTTGTTTGATATAAGTACCTAGAAACAAAACTCCTGGAGGGGCGGGGCAATAGAGACATGATCATTTTATGGATTAGGAGAACTTGCTTTAAGACCACCAAAGAAAGGCAAGTTGTCACCTTTGTGACTACCCAATGGCAAATGGGTGTTGGGTCCTCTGTAAAGTTTGCTTTGATTTTTCTTCTAGTATTGCACATTGACTATCTTGGATGACGCTCAGTATCCAGTAATTGAAGGACTAGAGACATTTGTGGTTTTCCTCAGCTCAGCACAAGGGGCCGAACTGACCAAACCCTTCCAGGCTGTCATTGCAATTAATGACACCTTCCAGGATGGTAAGAGATTGGGGTTGCCAGCTGGTGATTCAGACTGTATTTCTATTTTTCCCTTAGCGTCTATGTATATGATATTTGAACTAATTCATACTTTTATTCAAGAAATATATATGTATGTATTTGTGTGTGTGCACATGTATTTATGTGTATTGTTACAGATATAAATACGGGAGAGAGAGAATCATTCATGATTCCGGTACTCTGGTAGGCACACAGAGATATATAAGCCTTGGGCCCTGTCCTCAAGAAGCTCAATGTCTAGTTGGGGAGTCAGACCCTTACACAGAAAACTTAGAATATATTGTGATAAACACCCTAATAGTGCTATAAATCCAGTACTATTGAAGTAGAAGGGACTGAACAGTAACTGTGTATGTTAGAATCACAGAAGATTCTAACAGATAATATTTAAGCATAATCTTCAGGTATGAGTTTATTCAATGGATAATGGAGAGATACAGTATATACAAAGTATAAAGCTTTAAAGGATGCATATTTGAGAAACAATGAGAGCCTTAGTTTTGCTTTGAGCATGGCAGGGAGTGAATAGACGGGAGTGAAATGGAAAGACAGGTTGGAGTCAAGTTCTAAGAGGTCTTCTCTTCCAGTCTAAGGAATTTGTAAGCAAAAGGGAACAACTGATACTTATAAGCAGAGGAGTGGTGTGATTTTTGTTTTAGGAAAATAATTCTGGCAGCACTGTAGATGATATACAGTAATAACTAAACACAGGTATGTGAACAAGACATCACTCACTACTGAAGAGATCAGGACAGAAGACCATATAGGAAGTCATTGGAGCAATAAAGCAATAGATTGTAAAGATCTAACTGAAGTAACGTGAGGATGAACTAGAAAGGACAGATTTGGGAAGAACTGATGAAATTTAGAGTTATCAGATTCTCGACTGGGTGGGGAAGATTGAGTCAGACCTTCCACATGAAGCAGGAAGATCTCATCACCTTCCCCAGTGGTTGACCATAGAGCCATGGTTAAAGGCTTTCAGTAACTGAAAAGGAACAGGCAGCCCAGCAGAGTGATTTTTAATGTTTTTATTTCTTTTTAAATAAGTTATTCATATATATAGCAAAAAGGATATACTATGAAAACTAAGTCTTCCTCCTACTCCTGTCTCCCAGTCCCCCAGTTCTCCTCCCTGTAAACAACCACTTTAATTAGTTTTTGTGTGTATTCTTCGGAGAAAATCCATGCATGTGTGTATATCCAAAATGGTATCTTCTTTTAAAGCCAGGTTTAAAAAAAAAAAAAAAACGGTTGCTGTCCAGTCGATACTGACTCATAGTGGTCCTATAGGACAGAGTAGAACCGCCACATAAGGTTTCTGAGGAGCAGCTGGTAGATTCGAACTGCCGACCTTTTGGTTAGCAGCCCAGCTCTTAACCACTGTGCTACCAGGGCTCCAAAGCCAGGTTTAGTGAGGTATAATTTACATAAAGTAAAATTCACTCCTTTCAGTGTACAGTTCTATGAGTTTTTGACAAATGCATACAGTGATATACCCGCCACCACAATCAAGATATTGAATAGTTCCAAAACCCTAAAAAATTCTCTCATGGCCTTATATCAAACCCTTCATAGTCAACCCTTCTCTCCATCCCCTGATCTATTTTCTGCCCCTAAAGCTTTACTTTTTCTAGAATGGCATATAAATGGAATCATATAACATGTCGCATTTTGAGTTGGGGCTTCTTTCACTTATAATAATGCATTTGAGATTCATCCATATTGTTGTGTGTATTAGTAATTCATTACTTTTATTGCTGAATAGTGTTCCACTATGTGGATGTACCACAGTTTGTTTATCCATTCACCAGTTGAATGAAATTTGGGTTGTTTCCGGATTTTGACAGTTATAACTGCAGAGTCTATAAACATTTGCATATAGGTTTGTGTGAACTCAGGTTTTCATTTCTCTAGAGTAAGTACCTAGGAATTTTGATGCAGTCCAATTTATCAGTTTTTCCATGGATTATGCTTTTAGTGTCATATCTAAGAAATCTTTGCCCAACCCAAGGTTAAAAAAGATTTTCTCCAGTGTTTTTTTCTAGAAGTTTTATAGTTTTAGGTTTTAGATTTGGGCTTGTGATTCACAAAATGGTGACTTTTTAACCATAAACAAGATTATAACAATTATACTACTTTATTTTGCATGTTATTTCAGAGTTTATACAGTAGTCTATTAAAATTAAATCATTTGCTCATGTTCCCATAATTTTTTTCTTTTACTTCTATTTTGTAGATAAGGACATTGAGATTCAGGGGAATAACCATGTTATCCAAAGCCTAGTATATAGAGGAACTGTCACATATTCTAAGACATGTGGCTTCAAATCTGTTCTCTTTGTATTACACTACATGGTCTGTTTTGGTGGGTAGCCATGTCTGTGGGATTTTTTTCTTTCTTAGTGAAATTAAAAAAAGGAAATTCAGTTATTCTTTTTATTTTTGAAAAGGTTTAATTTTTATTCTTTGTATAAAAGGAGAATTTTGTATTTCGTTTTCTTTTCTGATGAAATGGAAAGTAATGCAAAGTCAGAAGTCCTGAAATCTAATCCCAATTTTACCACTTCCTAGCGCTATGGATTTAGGCCAGAGGCTTCAGATTACTGAGCCTCATTTTCCTCCTTTGTAAATAATGGAAGAAAATACCAACTTCACAGATTGTTGTAAGGACTAAATTAGATAAAATACGGGAAAACTTCTACCATAGTATGTGGCACATAGTAGATTTGATTACTTTCTGATACATTTCTTTTTCTTCCTCATACATCTGTAGTTTATCACACTTACCAATAGGATTCCAGTAACATATACAGTCCCCATTGCACTCTGATCAGGACAGAAGATTCTGTTTAAGTTTTTCTCAATATTCTATTGCTGGGCATTGTGGTTGCAAACATAGAAAACTAATGTGCTAAGCAAAATATGTCTCATCTTTCAAGGAGGCTACAACAATGTATGATCAATCAAGAGTTTATGGCAGAAAAAGAAATCCCAAATCCTATTTCAGAAGTGTTTAGTGGATACTTCTGTTGGTGATCCTTATTTCTGGTAATAGCTAACTTCTGTTGAGTGCTTTCAATATGCACATTTCAGGATGATCTTACATCCATTGTCTCTAATCCTTACAACAGCTCTTCAGTTTGTAAAACTGAGGTTTAATAATTTGCCTAACACATCACAGAGATGAGGTGACAGAGCCAGAGTTAAAACCTGGATCTAAGTCCAATCTTCTGTTATTATACCCTACCATTCATGTTCCAGTTAGCTGATCACTGCCCTCTGTATTGTTGTTGTTAGTTGCCGTCAAGTCAATTTTGACTCATGGTGACCCCATGTGTTACAGAGTAGAACTTCTGCATAGGGTGTTCTTGGCTGTAATCTTAACAGAAACAGATCACCAGGCATTTTCTTCCGCAGTACGGCTGGGTAGGTTCAAACTACCAACCTTCAGGTTAGCAGTTAAGGACAAACTGTTTACGCTACCTAGGGACTCTACTGACTATTCATGTTCCAGTTTTAACTGGCCACTAGCCTCTACATAACAATGCTTTATGTCCCTCAAAGTCCTTTTAAAATCAGCTTTCATCCTTTTGAAGTTATCTTAGCTCCTTTCATCTTTTTTCCACTGGGCTGAGTTCAGCCTTAAATCATCTAAGTAGCTCATCTTAGAACTTTTTCCTGTTTTCCACCTTCCTCTTCTGTTTTGGTACCTGGACTTGGACCCTGGTATGGGCCTGAGTAATACTGCGCAAGGCAACAAAGGCCTCAGAGCCCACACAGCACCATACTTACTCCTGGTTATGGTTCATGTACCTACTCAGGAACTCCTAGTAACCAGAAAAAGGACTTCTCCTAAATCTCCAACTTAACCATTGCCTGTAAACAGGCCATCACATTCCAGGTATTGGTGTTTCCATTCACTTTGTCAAGATTAGCAGGATAGTAATAGCAAGTCTTTACTGAACATTTTCTGTGCCTAAGACTTGGTTCTCAAATTTGTGTGAGTTAAGAGTAATATAGGGAGAGTCCCACAGTCTGTTTGGGGGTACAAAACTTACACAGATAAGAAGATAGCTATAAATTGGGCCAATAGATAAGTGTCCAGAGGTACTGTCAATTAAGTGTGTTATACTCAGTGCAAGCCCATGAGCCATCGGGAAGTAATCTCCATTTTATGCTCATGTACCCCATCAACGTGGAAAGAGAATGAGCTTTGAGTCAGGCAGACCTGATCCCAGGGCCAGCACTCCAACTTCCTGTAGAAATTATACCCTGGTGGCATAATGGTTAAGAGCTGGGCCGCTAACCAAAAGGTCGGCTGCTTGAATCCACCAGCCGCTCCTTGGAAACCCTATGGGGCCATTCTACTCTGTCCTATAGGGTCACTATGAGTTGGAATCGACTTGATGGCAGTGGATTTTTTGACAGAGTTGTTAGAAGCCCTGGTAGTGCAATGGTTAAGCCCTTGGCTGCTAACCAAAAGATAAGTGGTTGGAACCTACCCAGCAGCTCCACAGGAGAAAGTCCTGGTGGTCTGCTCCCATAAAGATTACAGCCTAGAAAACCCTATGGGGCAGTTCTGTTCTGTCACATGGAGTCACTATGAGTCAAAATTGTCTAGACAGCACCTAACAGCAACAACACTGGGTTGTTGAGAGGCTGATGCTGATAATGTGTAGGAAAGTCCTTAACACAATCCCTGACCTAGGCTGGGCCCTTTGTTTGTATTCCATAAACCCCCTGTGCATAAATCTGTTCCTGCAGTCACCTCTTCATCTTACCATTGTACCTTGTCTCTGTCATCCACTGGGATGGGAGCCTCTTGAAGGGGCTGTTTTGAGGCAGGCAATCACCAGAAGTGCCCACTCCCTTCCCTTCCTCTCTCTTCCTTTTTTATTTTTTCCTTTCTTTTAGAGGTAGGGATAGGAGCTAGGATTAGTATCTTGTTAAAGAGAAAAAACAGGTTATCGCTTCACAGTTACTTCACAGAGCTGCAATGTTGGCCACACAGGCCCTGGGGATCCACAGGCCCAATGGGGTCACCACTATGTACTTGATGGCATCTGGAGGTGGTATACTTACTGATGATGAGCAGGCAACAGGGCTGGAGAGGGAGGTCATAATGGCTGCACAGAAAGGACTGGATCCATACAATATGCTTCCTCCAAAGGCAGCTGCAGGTACTAAGGGAAACCCTAGTTTAGTCCCCTCCATCACTAAGTTATTAGTGGGCTGCATCTGCAGGAGGACAACAGTGCTGTCATCTGGCTCTGGCTGCACAAAGTTGAGGCCCAGTAATACCCTAACTGTGGAACCCATTAAAGGCTGGTGCCCCACGAGTTAGCCCACTGAGCCCCTGCACCAACTCACTCGGAATGTACTGCAAAGTTTTCTTCCTTCCAATAAAGACTAGCCATTGCCTTGGCGCCTTCTCAAAAAGCAAAAAAAAAAAAAAAAAGGGGAAAAATAGAGTCTTTTACAGCTCAAAAGGCATTTTGGGTTGATTAATATATGAAAAAACCTAAACATTACCACTTTGACCTTTAACTTTCTCGTCTTATTTGATGTCTGTCAAGCCAGCAAGAAAAACCAATATAAAGCTTGAGCTGGTCTGCCATGGACAGAAAAGTGCCCTTGCTTGTGTTGCTTTTCACCTGGCAACAAGCTTTTTTCTTGTCCTCCTACGGATAGGTGATGTCACTGCCCCCCAGCTTTTAGTGGCAAAGACCATTTTACCAGATGACAGGTTCCTAGCTAGTTAACACACAGGGCCTAATGCCAAAGCTGCTAATTTTCCTTTAGGTGTGGTGTTCTTTTAAGAGGTATCTTCTAGTGTTTTCTTTAGTAATAAATGGTAATGACCTTCGTTCAGATGGTGAGTTTTTTCACTTTTTGCTAATGCCAATAGTTTTGAGCTGCAATCAGTTTGGAAGCAAACAGAGCTTTTCACATACTGAGAACACCTAAGATTTAGCAGGATGCTTGGGTGCTTATCCACCCCTTCCTGTTCCTTCCTTTTTGGTTTGGCAGGGCACATCCAGGAGGGGTCCAGGAAATAGGTGATTATAGCTTGTTATGGGTTGAATTGTGTCCCCCAAAAATACGTGTTGTAAATCCTAACCCCTATACCTGTGGTTATAATCCCATGTGATAATTGTCTTAGGCTAGTTTCTCTAGAGAAGTAAAACCAGTAAAGCATATAAATACATATATACAGATTTATATCAAGAAAGTGGCTCATGTGGTTGTAGAGGCTCAGAGTCAGGCTGGAGTCTTCTTCTGACTAACATAGCTGCAGGGGCAGACTCAAGATCAGCAGGTCAGACAGCAGGGCTCTGGCTCACAGGCTGCAGAGACTGACAAATCCCAAAATCGGCAGGCAAGATGGCAGGTAAGCTGTTAGATCAAGTCCCAAGAACCAGAGGTCAGACGAACAGGAGCCAGCTGCAGGATCCAGAGCCAGCAAAAGCCCGCAAACCTTGCCAGAAAGTCACCTATATTGGTTGCAAGCCCACAACCCAAAGGAAACTCCTTTCAGCTGATTGGCTACTCACAGCAGACCTCATCATAGAGGTGATCACATAATATCAAATCTCATCATGGAGGTGATCACATCATTATACAACTGCCACACTACATCATAACTGCCAAACCACTAAGAATCATGGCCCAGCCAAGTTGACACACAACCTTAACAAGCACAGTAAGATTTTCTTTGTTACGTTAATGATACAGTATTAGTGTAGGGTGTGTCTTAAATTAATCTCTTTTAAGATATAAAAGAGATTAAACAAGCAAGTGAGAAGCAGAGCTGGGAGAAGAGAGATGCCAAGCCACATGAAGACAGCCCAGGATTAGAAGCTCAAAGAGACAAGGACCTTCCAGAGCCAACAGAGAGAGAAAGCCTTCCCCTAGAGCTGGCACCCTGAATTCAGACTTCTAGCCTCCTAATCTATGAGAAAGTGTAAATTTCTGTTTGTTAAAGCCACCTGTTTGTGGTATTTCTGTTATAGCAGCACTAGATAACTAAGACACAGCTTTAGGGTCAGCTTCCTGCAACCCCAAAGACTGATTCCATTTGAGAAGGCTCTGACATACGAATGGGGAAGCTACCTCACTGCATTGTTCATGAAGAAGTTAATAACCAGCAATCAACAAAATATTGGTCTTTAAAGGGGACACATCTTATGCAGAACATTACAGTAGTCATTGTAGGAAGTAAGGAGATAAAGCGATCCTTCGTATTAAGAATTTGGGGGTTAAGGGGCAACCACAAACTATAATGTAATACTTGCTCGCAAAATTTGAGTACCTGTTATGTGCCAGATACTGTGTTGAGTGCCCTGCCTATGTTATCTCATTAATTTCAATCCTCTCAACAATTCCATGAGGAATATATTAATATTTCATATATGTATGTGTATGAGAAAAACTTGGTTCAGAAAGTGTTTGAGTAACTTGCCCTATGTCATACAGCTAATAAGTAGCAGAGCTGGGATGGAAAGTCAGGTTTGTTTACTCCAAAGCCCTTGTTTTTAATCACAGTCTGGAAATGGTTCCTCTCTAAATGCAAATGAGGCCATGTGAGTTTAAAAAAAGAAGAGGTAACTCTGAAGTAGGGGGTCACAAACTGGGGGCCCACTAATCAAATTCAGTCCCTGGACGTGTTTTGTTTGGCCCAAATAATTTTGGCCTGTGTGGAATTTTTTTTACTATTTTAATTGTTTGCCAGTTTAAAATTTAGGAGATATCACATAGAAATCCAGTTCTCTGGCTTCCTTTGAAAATAAGATCTGGCAACAAAAGACTAGCTGAGGAGCAGTCCCCCTTGAGAGAGGGCATGCTCTCTCCTCTTTACCAATAGCCCCCACTCTTCCCTATTGTCTCCCTGGCCCCAGACCCCATGTGAATGACCATTTATCTATCAGCCCTGCACTGCTGTTTTCCTTCTTGTAGCTTTAGGAGGACAGTGAACTCTTTTGAGTGCCCAACTGTATGTCAGAATTTTTCTTATACCTAGACCATTTCTTTACTTTCATTATCTGTCTGGTACCTGTAGGCCTTTGAGATGGTGAGCCCACACTGAAGCTAAGGGTGCAAAACTGATTTATTCTATTTCATTGAAATCATACTTACAGTAGTAGAAGCAGTTCCCTGAAAGCAATAGCGATTGCTTGAAGCCCACATTCCCCTGTGGTTTGCCAGCCTACTAGGCCCTTGATGGAGCCCACCTGCCTAGTGGCCGATGACAGCTCTAGAGCTGTGACCTCTCTGTAAACACTAATGATGCTTCTGTTTTTCTGTCTGCTCATCTAGTGCCCAGCATGCAGTTTGCCAAGGATTTGCTCTTAGTGAAGGAGAAGGAGGGTGTCCTGCACATTCCTATCGTTCGGAGCGGGGACCTGAGCTATGAGTCCTCTGTGAGGTGCTATACTCAAGGCCATTCAGCTCTGGTCATGGAGGACTTTGAAGAGAGAAGAAATTCAGACTCTTCCCGGATTACATTTCTGAAAGGGGAGAAAGTAAGTGGATTCATGGTGGCTGAGAGACAGGATTCTTTTCTTCTTGATACCTTTATTTGTTCTTGATGAAGTAATTTCAACAAATTCTGAACATTCTAGGAATTTCTTAGTTATTGATAATATTTTAATACTATCATCTATTCCATATGGCTATCTTCTTTGTCTCCCACTTTCATCCCAAAACAATACAACAACCAAGTATATATAACATATACATATAACATGGGTTGAGCTGGGAAGTTTAGATGACATATAGCATTTTGGGAACATAAAGGACTCAAATGAGTGAAGGTTGCTCTTAAACTGAAACCATGTTAGAGACAAACACATCCCACTAAATATAACTTAGAGGAGGAGGAAGCAGTTCTTTAATACCTGGGCCCCTGACCCAAGGCAGCATACATTGTAGTATAGGAACAAATAGGCAGATGTTGAGCAGATTCAAGTCAGTGAGGTATCCTGTTGCCAATAGACATGAGGACACTGGAAATCCTGAGAACCTCCAGTCACTAAATGTGGCTGTGTCAAAATCAAAGTCTGCAACTTCAGTGTATGCTAAAAGCGTATCTGGAATCAAAATCATATTTCTCCCTTTTTGGACCTCAGTTACAGATGACTGAGTTAATCATACCCTTTGGGTGGTGCAAATGGTTAATACATTCAGCTGCTAAACAGAAGGTTGGAGGTTTGAGTCCAACCAGAGGTGCCTCGGGAGAAAAGCCTGACAATCTACTTCCAAAAATTCAGCCATTGAAAGCCCTATGGAGCACAGTTCTACTCTGACATACAGGGATCACCATGAGGCAGAATAGACTCAACAGCAACTGGTTTTGGTTGAAGGCACACTGTCCTCATTGGTCAGTGCAAGACCCTTATTTAATTACTCATTCTATTTTACTTGTATTCTTCCAGCCACATTCCCTTCCTCACCTCAGAGCCCATCATTCTGTTGTGCTTAATGTATACCCCTTATTGATTTGTTTTTGAAAAATGTTTTGTGTGTATGATTACTAATTTAAATAAATGCTATTGTATTATATCTTTTTCAGTGTTTTGCTGTTTTAATAAGCAATATGTTTTAAGATCTGACTACATCATTTATGTATCTAATCTGTTGCTTCCATCTGTTGTAAAATATTTCATGGTGTGCATCTGCTACATTTTACCCATCCACTCTCAATGACAGACAGTGAGGAACCTCGAGGATAGTACCCAGTAACCTCCTAATGCTCTGCCAACACCAGTAATGCCACAGTGCACATCCTCATACATGTCTACCTACAGATCTCAGTGAAAATTTCTTTGTGTGTGTACTCAGGAGTAAAATCGCTAGGCCATAAGGCATGTACATGGCTACACCAATCTACGCTCTCATTAGCAGTACATGAGGGTTGTTGCTATATCCCTCCACACTCCACCCTCTCCAACATTTGACATTATCTGTCTTCTTTTATTTTTGCTAGTCTAATATGTATTAGGAAACACTAGTGGTGTAGTGGTTAAGAGCTCTGTCTGCTAAATAAAAGGGCATCAGTTCAAAACCACCAGGCCCTCCTTGGAAACTCTGTGGGGCAGTTCTACCCTGTCCTATAGGGTCACTATGAATCAGAATCAACTCAAGGGCAACGAGTTGGATTTTTTGTTTTTTTTTTAAATATATATTAAGTTACATCTTATTTTAATTTGCATTTCTCCTATCACTACTACTTTATATGCTTGTTAGATTAGCTTATTAGATTTCCTCTTCTGTAAATTTATTATTTTTATCCTATGCTGTTTATCCTATTGTGTTGTTCTTTTTGTTGTTGATGTTTTCTTAGTAGTTTCTAATATATTCGAAATATTAATCCCTTGCCAGTTTTAGATATTGTGACATCTTTGCTTTTTAATACTTTAAAGAGGTCTTTTGCAGTAGATGTTCCCAATGCGATAAGTCCAATTTGCCCAATGCAATTAGCCAGTGACAGCCTTACAAATAGTGTTCTTAGTTGAACAGAAATCTTCAATTCTAATATAATCAAATGCATTGAAGTTTTGCCGTATTATTTATTAATCCTTTTGAAGTTTAGCGTAAGAAAACCTTACCTATCTCAGGTCACCTCAGATTCCTCCCCTGTTCATTTTACTACCAAAAAAATTAAAAATGTGATAGCTTTTCTTCTCTGGGACTCTTTTACACATTCATGACTCATAAAGCCCTGTCTTAGTTATTTGATGAGACTTTTACTAGTGGCAGGTTGAAACGTGTATTAAAACACACAAATACAACAGATACGATCTTTAGCTTGGAGTCTACACGTCTGTATTTGTTTTAAGTTCAAATGAGGATTGTCTGCCTATCCAAGACACAATTTATAGTTTAACACAAGTATAAAGAAAATACAGCCAAATATCTCTGTGTTGCCCACATGACAATCTGTCATCATTTCTCAGCACATTTTTGGAATCTTCATTGTCCTTGGCTTGCTAAGCAATATGTCTTTGGAAATTGTCATTCACTAGAACGTCTTTGTTTTTTTTAATCTCCTGAAGAGTCACTACTAAATTATGCTTCCCATAAAGTTCTTAATGTAAGAAAGATGTGATAGGAAAAAAAAAAAAGAACTTTCCATAGGAATTTAAAACCAGGTTAGCAAGCCACATATATATGTCCACAGGGATACACACCATTTACTGTGACTTAGGAAGTTTGAGAAGGAGGCGTTGGTGGTTCAGTGGTAGAATTCTCACCTTCCATGAGAGAGACCCAGATTTGATTCCTGGCCAGTGCATCTCATGCACAGCCACCACCTGTCCATCACTGGAGGCTTGTGTGTTGTTACGATGTTGAATAGGTTTCAGCAGAGCTTCCAGACTAAGACAGACTAGGAAGAAAGGCCTGGCAATCCACTTCCAAAAAAATCAGCCAGTGAAAACCCTATGAATCACAATGGTCCAACCCATAACCAATCATGGAGATGATGAAGGACCAGGTAGCGTTTCCTTCCATTGTGCATGGGGTCATCATGAGTTGGGGGCCGACTCCACGGCAGCTAGCAACAACAACAGGAAGTACGAGAGAAACTTCTCTCTACCCTCATATCCTTTCCAGTACAATAGGGTAGTAGATCATTCGTTTTAGTGAAAATATTAGAGTTTTCCTTCTCTGACAGGTTTCTGCCTTACACAGGTTCCAGCTTTTGCAGGTTTTACTATACTTTTTTTTTTGAGTGGCAGTGAGCTCAAGACTGTTTTCCCTTGCTAGAGCCTGCAGCACAGCTGGCCATTTCTTTAGCTGAATATAGATGCAGGTGCTATTAGCTGAATGGAGCCTCATTACTATCGTTACTTTGGAAAACATTATTAATTCTATTCTGTTTTCATTTTAATGTTTTTGTTTCATGGTCATTTGGAAATAAAACCATTTATAAAATTGTTCCATTGAGAAATACATTTTTGAATAATGCTCTTTTAAATAAAGCTCTTCCTTCTTGGTTAAAAAACAAAACAATAGGATAGTAGATTTAAAATGTTCCCACTAAAATATCCCACTTCATATTACATGAATTCACTATTGAGACTGCTCTGTTACCTAAAATGTTGTGACCTTATTTTGCATTTTCTCAAAACACAGTCCTCAGTAGAGAATATTCAGTTTGAGAGATGCTTGGTTTTTTGTTTTTGTTTTTTTTAATCAAACAGGGATTTGAATTGTGCTCTCAGTCTTTCAGTACTCGGAAGTCTTCACATGAGACATTGTTTGGCAGCGGATCTGAGAGTTCTTCAGCATTTAAACGTATCTTTAGTCTAATACGAAGACTTTCTGAGTTCATTATAAGACTATTCAGTAATTACAAAGGAAAAGGAACATTATTCAGCTCTCCTGGAAATCTAATCAATATGTTAAACCTCCATCATCAGAAATCTACCTATTGTAACGTGTGCAAATATATTGATCAGCTCAGGAAAAATGTGGGAAAGCATGCAAATGTTCTATAGGTGCTTTTTAATGGGTTATTTGTTTTATTGATTTTTTTTCCATAACTAGAGGCCAATAATTCAAGATGGTTTAGAATGTTATGAGACTCAATATATAGGTAGGTTCCATTCAAGCATGAAATAATAGATTTAAACATTGTATTTTATGAATGAAATTGGTTTCTTTCATATTTGTGTCAACTCTGATGCTACAAAGAAGAAATCATTTCTAGGAAAATCAACCAAGTTATTGATATCTCACTGCAAATTTTAATCTCTCTTGTGCCATTGGCTCTAGGTGAAGAACTGTACTGTCTATATCCATGATGACTCCATATTTGAGCCAGAGGAACAGTTCAGGGTCATCCTTGGCCATCCTCTTGGAAACCACTGGAGTGGAGCTAGAGTTGGAAAGAATAGCATGGCAACCATCACCATATCTAATGATGAAGATGGTAAGAAAAGAAATTGTCTGCTGTTTCACTAATAATGTAATTACAGGTGTTTTGAAAAATGAAAATGTTATAAAATTACCTACCAATAACAATCTCTGAGCATTTATATAAAATATTAGTAGCAAATGTTCACCCAGGACAATGCTCCAATAAATAAATTTATAAGTATTTTTAATCTCATTAATCCCTACCATACTGCCAAGAGATAAGGAATGAGTATAGTTAAAAGCTAGGATGGAGATGCTAAGATAGAGAATGAAAGCTATTTAAGTCACTATAGTTCAGGAATAAGATTGAAATACAGTCAGAATCTGTTGAATCCAATGAACTGATTTAAAAGACTGCCACCTTCTTGGAAAAGTCTGATTTCTCAGTTTTCTTCTCTTTCATTGATTTGGCCTACTAACCTAAAAAAATTAATTTCTATAGTTAGATGTATCAAAGAGTGGCCCAGACCTAGCAGGGAAGACGAAACCTGTTTCAAATTGGGACATAATTGTTTTATTAAAATTGGTATTTTAATGAGTGAATAGGTAATCATATTATAAATCGTAATGACTTTTTTATTGAGTACTTACTATATACTAAGAACTGTGCTAAGCATTTTATATTTTTATTTCATTTAATCCTGACAGTAACCCATGAGATAGGTGTTACTATCTTTGTATTGTAGGTGAAGAAACTGAACCTCAGCAAAGTTACATAATTAGCACTCTTAAGTTACACAGTTATAAGCAGCAAAGCTGGATCTGAACCTTATTTTATCTGATTCTTATCAAGTGCAGCTTATCTTGTATAATTAGAAAGAAATGACTTTCTGAGAAAGAAAAGGAAATGAATACACAAACTCTAGAAATTTCTGCAGTATTTTTACAGTATACTATTCTTGTTTTACCGTCAGATCAATTCTAACTCACAGCAACCCCATGTGTAAAATGTTAAACTGACTGTCTTCATAGGGTTTTCAAAGCTGTGACCTTTTGGAAGCAGATTGCCAGGCCTGTCTTCTGAGGTGCCTCTGGGTGCGTTTGAATTGTCAGTCTTTTGGCTAGTAGTCGAGCGCTTAACCATTTGCGCCACCCAGGGACTCCTGTAATATAAGTGGTATTAAATTTATAATTGCTGTCAGTTTTCCCATCTACTTATCTCACTCACTCCACAACCACAGCTTTACCCTCCCCCATGTGTATATAATAGAAAAGAAGGCATTATTTGACCTTTTTTTAATTTAAAAACAACATATTATTAGTCATTTTCTAACATTGAGAATTGTGCCTCAGACCAGATGGCATGAGGAAGTCTTGGGTACCTGAATTTTCATTGCAACCAGTCATTAAAACTACTCATTCTTACCTAAATACCCTGTGAGAAGTTAGGAAAAACTGGGTGGGGATCAGGGGAGGAGGAGTCTTTAAACATTTTAAAGATGGGGAGAAACTGGGAGGGGGCTCCCAACAAGCCCAGAATTGAAAGATGGATTTGGTAGATTTAAGTAGCATATAAGTGAGATGAATTATAAACCTTAGAAATTCAAAATTCACAAATGAAAGGAGCTGGTTCATGTAATCACTTGGTAGATGTTTATCAAGGGCCTCCTGTGCCTGTTGATAAATTGTGCAAATTTAAAAACGTTCTGTGAACTATAATGCTAAGGTGGAAACTTAAGCATTATGCATTTCAAAGTCCCCAAAAATATTTCCCCAACTATATTGTTTTTAATAAGAAACTTGTGAGGATTAACTCCTACAGGATCACAAATAAATTGTTTTCCAAAGCATAGCTTAGGGGTAAATACTGATTGATATTTATAACTGCAAGCCATTTTGCCTCTGTATTATTAACTAGTGTGAAAAATTCCCTCTTGTAGTTGTAAAGCATTTTCATGGGAGTCTGAATTTTTTGTGCCATTCTAACTTATTCTTGTTTTCCTAACTATGTTTCCTTAGCCCCCACCATTGAGTTTGAAGAAGCTGCATACCAAGTTCGGGAACCTGCAGGGCCAGATTCCACTGCTATTCTGAACATCAAGGTGATCCGCAGAGGCGATCAGAACAGGACCTCCAAAATTCGCTGTAGCACACGAGACGGGTCTGCCCAGTCTGGTGTGGATTATTACCCAAAGAGCCGAGTGTTGAAGTTTAGTCCTGGTAAATAAACACCAACCCCAAACTGTGTGTTTTAGCTAACAGAGAGGTAAATAGCTTGTATTCGAAGAAAAGAATGAACAGAGAAATGAAAGAAGAAAACAGTAGCTCCAATGATATAAAGCATTTATTGAGCACACATTTGACATTACAAGAGTCTTTAAAAATTTTAATTAGTAAAAATGGCATGGAAAAAAGAGAAATTAGGTCCCTTACTTCAGAACATGCTAGGCATTTTGCCTCACTTAAAAGTATTGTTTTCTTAGCCTATGATTTGGTTGAGTGATAGGAGAACTTGATTTTTAAAAATATGCATGACTGGCATCATTCAACCAACATTAGTACAAAGTACTGTGCTGGGCCCTTCAGGGATTACTGAAATCTGGAAGGCACATCCGTGTGCTCAGTGGTTTAACATCTACTAGGAAATGGGATACCCTGTTATGGGGTTTCCAAATAAGGTTTATCCTAGAGACAGAGATAGAGACTAGAGTCAAGGAGGAGTAGAAGATGGGATTCAGGTCACAACTAACTGTTTAACTGATGTATTATACAGGAATGGGGCAGAGTGAGATAGGGAAAGGGGTGAATTGTGTCTTAATTTCTTAGAGCTGCTGTAACAGAAACGCCACGAGTAGATGACTTGAAAGAACAGAAATTTATTTTCTCAGAGTTCAGGAGGCTAGAAGTCTGAGTTCAGGGCACTGGCAGGCACTAGGGGAAGGCTCTCTCAGCCCGCTAGGAAGGAAAATCTGTCTCTTTCAGCCTCTGTTCCTCAGTTCTTTGGCAATCTCCATGTGGCATCTTATCTTCCCCCATTTGTGTTGCTTGCTTCTCTCTGTGTCTCATCTGCTCTTTCTACATCTCAAAAGTGATTAGGTGTAAGATATACCCTACACTGATATGACCTTATTAACGTAACAAAGAAAACCCTGTTTCCAAATGAGATTACATCCACCTGTGTAGGGGTTAGGATTCCAACACATATTTTGAGGTGGGTGAGGGGGACATAATTCAATCCATGACAAATTATATGGTAGGTTTTTTCACAGAACTTTTTTTTTTTTTCTGTGGGCCTAGGCTGGTGTGGGTTTAGGCACCATTAGTGACATAGCCGGAAGTGGGCGATAGTGTTAGAAGGTCTTTTCAGAGACGTTTTGGGAAGTGGAGGTAGGTAAAAGACTCCATCAGAAATGGGCTAGGGGTTTCTGTATATCTCGTCCACATCCCTGGAGCTTCAAAGGGCCTTTGGCTCCATCCCGTGTACGTCTGATTGGTGTTTGCTGGGAAGGTAGATGCCGTTCATGTTCATCTACATCTACACGTAAGAATTCGGGTAGGGGGAAGGGTAGGTCTTATGAGTAACATAGCTCAGATCTCCGTAGGAGGTGAGGAAGGTTATTTGAACCTTCAGGGAACAATTTTATAGACAAGGAAGTTTCTAAGGCTTTAGCCCTCCCCCTCCCAGGCTGCTAAATCTCCACGTTATCCTCTTTGTGAAGACTGGCCTGGTAGGGAGCCTTTAAGCTATCACTCCTCAGGAGATAACTTTGAAGGGTGCCTGTGTATGTAAGCGCTTCCAGCCACACAGAAGCTCATGCATAAGCATAAAGGGGAAAAAAAAATTAAGCAAAAAAACTCGTGACCAGGGTGGAGTGTATATTTTGGATCATAGATTTTTATTACCACCAGCTAGTGCCAGGCAGGGGCCATTAATCCTCATAAGGTGTTGAATAGTAAATCTGCAATACTGAACCTCTACCATAGGTGGAATTTGGTCTATAAAACAAATTCCTCGCTTGAGATGGGGTAAAGTGATTAGTAGCCACTGCATTTATAGAAAACCTCTGAAAGGAAAGGGTATATTTTAACATGCAGTCTTGGCAGTGCCAACCTGCATTCTCTTGGGTATATGACCTAATGAGGACATTTGCTCTTTTTTTGTTCTGTCCTTGATGAAGGTGTGGATCATATCTTTTTTAAAGTTGAGATCTTGTCCAATGAAGACCGGGAATGGCATGAATCTTTCTCCCTAGTCCTTGGCCCAGATGACCCAGTGGAAGCAGTGCTCGGGGATGTGACTACTGCCACAGTGACAATTCTAGACCAGGAGGCAGCAGGGAGCCTCATATTGCCAGCACCACCCATTGTGAGTTACTTCATTCAAAGGACATGCAGCTTTTATGTCTTAGTGACGAGTAGATGAGAACTTGGGAGCAGTAGGACTTTCAATGCTCTACTTCTTTGTTCTTCTAACAAAGTGATTCACAGCTGGGGGCAATCTTGCCCTCCCTCTCAGGGAACATCTGGCAATGTCTGGAGATGTTTTAGGATGTCACAGTTTTGAGGGGAGATACCTCTAATGGATAAAGGCCAAGGATATTGCTAAATATCCTGTAATGCACAGGACAGCTCTCACAACAAAGAATTACCTGGCCCCAAAATGTCAATAGTGCCAATGGTGAGAAACCCTGTTCTGGCATAAGAGTAAAACCAAGCCATGCTGAGAATCCAGACTTTCTGGAGTCACTGGAGCTGGATGACCCTTCTCCCATCTTCCTCTTGAAACTATTGCCCCAAGGAAATCTTTAAACCTTAAACCGGAACTATCCCATGAAGTCATCTTTAAACCAAATAATAGTTTAGCTTAATTAGAAAAGAATGTCCACCATGAGCATTATGTTCTTTTAAAGAATTATCTATGTGAGATCAGATTGACAACAGCAACTCAAAAGGTTAGATGAGAAGCTTAAGGGGCAATGAGTTTGTATTGATGATGGTGAAACTATTTGGAAAAGGATATCGAGAAAGGTGGTACAACTTGAAGAATGTAACCAATGTAACTGAATTGTACATGTAGAAATTTTTGAGTTGTGTATTTTGCTGTATATATATTCACCAAAAAAAGAAAAAAATAGACCAAGCCATGTTGATTTAGTCTGATAAAGGTTGAAAGTACAATACAACCAATCTTCTCATTTTTCAGAGGCACTCATGAGAGCGAGAAAGCAATACTAACCCTTAGCTGTTATTCTACAGACTTGCCACACACATAGAATTAGTCATCTGTAGAGATGAAGTACCATTTTTCCCAATTTGGGGATGAATAAAATATTGTACCAACTTCATAATTAGGAGGAAAATACCTAGAGGTTGCCAAGGGAAAAATAAACCGTAATAATTATATAGTGAGAATAAGCCTTCTAACCTCCCCTAATTAATCTCTTTAGAAGAGAAGGATCATTCCAAAATGTATCTCTTATTTGGCCGTGGAAGAAATCCACTTCCTCCATTTACGTTTATTTTGCCAAATGTGCTACCACATACCATTAACAACTTATTGCAACTTTAAACTAGCAACTGCCATTCCTGATACAGCATTGGTTACAGTGTGCAAGAAAACAAAACTATTTTCCACATTGAGTGATGGGGCTCTGATTTGGGAATCAGATTAGTAGAATAGTCACGTTTTTAGTCAAGCAGTAATAGGATCTCTTCCACCACTCAAGATCTGCAACATATTTTAGGGGTACCGGGTACTTTGGGTGCTTTGTAAAAACTTACCCTATTTAAAGAATCTCTAGAAGTTAAGAGATCTTGTGGGTCTCTGGGTAAGGGAGCCTTTGTTCTCTGCCATTCCTGGTACCCAACCTAGAGTGAAGCTTTGTTGCTGTTTTATAGGTCATCACACTTGCTGACTATGACCACGTGGAAGAGGTTACCAAGGAAGGAGTCAAGAAATCCCCCTCCCCGGGCTACCCACTGGTCTGTGTCACCCCCTGTGACCCTCATTTCCCCAAGTATGCCGTCATGAAGGAGCGCTGCAGTGAGGCTGGCATCAACCAGACATCCGTGCAGTTCAGCTGGGAAGTGGCCGCCCCCACTGATGGCATTGGAGCCCGGTCTCCCTTTGAGACCATCACTGACAACACACCATTCACCAGCGTCAACCAAATGGTAGGTCCATGGCTCTAGCTCTAGTTGGGAAGGAAGAGAAGTGGCATCTCTTTTTGTTACTCAGACTCTATCAGATTCCTTAAGGTCCGTGCATGACATTTGGAATAAAACAAATAAGCAGGCACACATAGTACACACAGAGACTTTCTATTTTTATATATAAGGAAAGGTAATATGGTGTAGTAAAAGAGAACTGAGCTTGTAGTCAGAAGACCTGTTTACAAATCCTGATTCTGCCTGTTTTTAACTATGTGATGTTAAGAGGTTAACTTGATAAGGTCATTGACAAATCAGATATAAAATGATCTATAAGTGGTAGAGTAAGCCATAGATTCCAAATAGGAACAACTAAATGATTATTATTCTTTTCACATATCTTCAATCATTGATTAGGTCCTAGGATATCAACCCCTTGAGGATATGGACCAGGGGTTCTACCACATTTGTATATCCCAAAGTGTCTATGTCCTATTGGTAGCATATAATAGGGACCCAATTATTGAACAAAAGGATAAAATAGTTGTTGAGTGCACAAACGGTTTGCATTCATCTACTAAACAAAAGGTTGGCAGTTCAAACCTGCCCAGCAGCACCATGAAATAAAGGCCTGATGATCTGCTTTTGTAAAGATTACAGCCAGGAAGACCCTATGGAGCTCAGTTCTACTCTGTAACACACAGAGTTGCCATGAGTCTGAATTGACTTGATGGCAACGAGTTTGATTTTTTTGTTTTGGTGTGAAGACATGAAAGGTTTACAATGCAGTTGCTGCACTCAAGGAGCTTAGAGACCAGACCAACACACCTGCCGCCATCAGAGAGTAATGAACAGTGATGGTTTCCCTAAGCTTATGAAGTAGTCCACTAAAGTGACTCTACTGATTGCACCAGTGAAGTTTGTCCTCTTCAGAATGAGAGCTGAAAGGAGTTGAGACTCAGGCTCAGTTCAGTATCAGGCACATAGTCTGAAATTAATTTACTTAGTAATTTTGGAGGAGCCCTGGTGGCGCAATAGTTAAGAGCTCAGCTGCTAACCAAAAAAAAGGTCAGCGGTTCGAATCCACCAGCTGCTCCTTGGAAATCCTATGGGGCAGTTCTACTCCGTCCTATAGAGTTGCTATGAGTTGGAATCAATTCGACGGCAATGGGTTTGGTTTGATTTTTTTGGAATAGTTTTGGAAACCAGAAATCTCTTTCAGACAGCATTTCTCTAGGTTTTCCTATTCAACCTGTAGTTTGTTCTCAGTTTACTAAGTGCCTCCCTTGGATGGGATAATAGCAGAGGAAAGTTTTACATGTAGATGGGAGATTCCAGATAAAGGAGGGTCACTCATATCCATTGTCTTTACACAACTTATTCAAAAAGGCCAGAAGATCCATTGTTTTGCAACATAGATATAGATAGCTGCCATCAAGCCACCTCTGACTCATGACAACCTTATGTACAACAGAACAAAATGATGCCCAGTCCTGTGTCATCCCCATGAGCACCAGTATGTTTGAGTCCATTGTTATGGCTATTGTGACAGTCTGTCTCACTGAGGTCTCTCTTGTCCTCGCTGGCCCTCTGCTTCACCAAAGGCAGTCACCTCTAGCGACTGATCCCTTCTGACGATGTGTCCAAAGTAAGCGAGTTGAACAATGTTCTGTTGTAATCTATAGGTTTTCATTGGCTAATTTTTAGAAGTAGATTACTAGACCTTTCTTTCTAGTCTGTTTCAGTCTGGAACCTTCACTGAAAGCTGTCCACCATGGCTGACTATGCTAGTATTTGAAATACTGGTGGTATAGCTTTCAGCATCATAGCAACATGCAAATCACCACAGTACAACAAACTGACAGACAGGTGGTGGTTTGCAACATAATCTAGCCCAAATTTAAATTATCTTCTATATTATTAAAAAATTCAAATAGGAAGACTTAACTCAATGGCTTATTGTTTCATATGTATCTACTCTCTGTTCAACAAAACCATGAAAAGAATTTGGACTGATTTGAGCCAAATACGACACATTCTTAACAGTACCAAATTCATGAATTGATTTATGATTGTTTTCCTTTTTAAAATGAACTGATGACTGGTAATCTTTACCCCAGTTCCCCTTGCTTTATCATTATTTCTTCAACTACTTATTTAAGACCATTGTATTGTGTGCATTTTTGTAAGATGCCTCAAATCCCTTCTGAACTAAGTCCATAAATAAATAAGTGTTGGCAGCTAATTAAAAAAATTTTAGTGGAAAAATCTTCTTTAATTTTTAATGGACTTCAGTGAAAATTGTTTTCATGAGTAGAATTTATAAGTTTGTATGATTGCTTTGTGGGAGGTCTATGACACACAGAACTACTAATTAATTTTTCTTGTTATGTACTTCCCTATGTATATGCACACATAGCGTAAAGTGCTGGTGACCTGTGTTACCTTTGCATAGATTGCTGTATTAAGCACTGGCTTCTATATGTCTGGGAACTTGAAGGAATCTGGTGAAAGACCTTCAAAAGCCAATGGATGTCAGAGGCTACATTTTCAGCTTTAAGCCTGCATGTTATTGTAATCCTGGCAGTGTAGTTTTCATGTGGTGGGGGTGGGGGGATGGGGAGAGGGTAGCAGCAAGAGGGAAAGAGAAATAAGAACCCCTGGGAAGGAAGCATCTCTTCTCTGTATCCTGACATCATGCCCTCATCAAAAGTGAGTTGGAGGCCCTTTGATGTGCTATAGGGAAGGTACAGGACTGCTGCCAGATAGAGGCCAAATAGTCTTGATAGAGGGGCCAAAAAGAAGATGGGAAGTCCTTTTGCTGAACTTAGTATGTGTCTTACCCCCTTAGACTCTAAGTACTCACTGCTCTGTCCCTACTCCCTGGCTCACGGTAGAAACTCAATAATTATGTGATGAAATGAATCAATTAGATGGATAGCTTGATGGCTAGATGGATAGATGGCAGAATGGATGGATGGATAGATGGCTGAATGGATAGATGGCTGGCTGGCTGGCTGGGTGAATGGATGGGTGGATGGGTGGAAGGAAAGATGGCCTTCACAGATTACCTTGGGCCAGAAACTTTTTAAATATTATCACCCAAAAGATACAGCATAAGGAGCTATTTAAGTGGCATAATCATGTCTGAGGTGCTTTATTCTTTCCTGTAGGTATTGGATAGCATTTACTTTAGCCGAAGGTTCCATGTGCGCTGTGTGGCAAAGGCTGTGGACAAGGTGGGCCATGTCGGGACCCCCTTACGGAGCAACATTGTTACCATCGGAACAGACAGTGCTATCTGCCACACCCCAGTGGTGGCTGGGACAGCTAGAGGCTTCCAAGCTCAATCCTTCATCGCAACCTTGAAATACCTGGATGTCAAACACAAGGAGCATCCGAACAGGTCAGGCAGGTGATGCCTTCCACACTGAGAGGGTGGAGTGAATCTCAGGCTATCTTTTGTGTGATTTCCAGGATGGATCAATGAGCAAGTCATCTGAAAAACAGTGGTAATGACTACTTTGAAAAAAAAGTTTGAATTCCTCAAAGCCCCTCAAGATCTGGCCCCTCACCTAGGGCTGCTGTAACAAAGTACCACAAAGTGGGTGTCTTAAAATGATAGAAGTTTATTGTCTCACAGTTCTGAAAGCTAGAAGTCCAAATCAACATGTCAGCTAGTCTTGATCCCTCCAAAGTCTCTAGGAGATCCTTTCTTATCTCTGCCATTTTCTGGAAGCCCCAGACCTTCTTTGGCTTGTAGATACAGCTTCACATGGCTGTCTTCTCTCTGTCTGTCTCTGTCTGTCTCTTTTCATCTATTATAAAGACATCACTCAGATTGAATTAGGACCCACACTACTCTGGTATGACCTCATGTTATTTTAACTGATAACATCTTCAAAGACCCTATTTCCAAACAGGGTCACTTTCACACGTACAGGCGGTTAAGACTTCAATATTTTGGGGGAACACAATTCAATCCATAACACTATCTCATTAGCCTCATCTCCCTTACTTTGCCATTTTTACCCACCAGTGCGCCCGCAGAGAATCACATGTTATTTCCCAATGGCTTCAGCACTCTGCCTGAGGGCCATTTTAAATAGTGAAATCAACAAAGAACACAAAAATGTAAAAACCATGACATTAGATATTCTGCAAAAAGACACTTGTTTACAGTATGATAGCTGAAACAAGAAGGCAGAGTGTTGCCTAGTTTGACCTCAGCTGGGAATGTACTTGTTGGGCAACTCAAATTTTTTGTTGCTCTGCACATGTCCACAAATGACTATGAAAGCGACATGAGTATTGATTTTGGCATTACAAATAAAATTTTTGCAAGTAGGTGAATTTGCAAATATGGAATCTGCAAATAATGAGGATTGACTGTATTTATTTTGCATCCCTTGTTCCTGGTACAATGCTCCTTGGCACCTAATAGACACCCACTAAATATCTATTGGAGCCCTGGTGGCGCAGTGGTTAAGAGATCAGCTACTAACCTAAAAATTGGCAGTTCGAATCCACCAGCCACTCCTTGGAAACCCTATGGGGCAGTTCTACTCTGTCCTATAGGGTCACTATGAGTTGGAATTAATTTGACAGCAACGGGTTAAATATCTATTGAACAAAAGAGTAATAACACTTTGTAAACTATTTAAGTCACTGGACAGGTGTGCCCTTATTTTTTTTTCCCAAGCTACCATGATTATGATAGGAAATGGATGTTTTCATTTTTGCATAGCAAAAAGAATTCAGTGTATGTTATACATATTCCTTAAACCTCATAGTATTTATGTGTGTGCCTTTATGAACAACTGAGTTCATTGCATTAAAAAAAAATGAATTTGGAGCCAAGAGTACACAAATCCTTCTCTTTTTCTAACAGATTAAAATTTATTTTTGTTAAGGAGCCATAACAAAAGTTCTCAGGGCACTCGAGACACCTTTCTTGAAAAACAGCCATCTACTTCAATATCCTGAAATCTGATTCCTCTTAAGATGTGTTTCTTTGATAAGAGAGCCAAGCTATATAAACCCAACATGCGCCCTCTGTAAACATGCTGAAAATTTGAACTTGTATGATTAAAAAAAAAAACCTGCAGCCAATAAGTATAGTTCTGTTGTGTCACAGTCTTTACCAATATTTATTAAGCTCATATTTTATTTAGAATTGTATAGTATATGCTCTGGAGAAACAAATGAAGTGAAGGAGATGGTCCTTGTCCCCATCGTGGGGAAGCAAGATTAACAGAGTCTGTAAACACACACGAAATAGCAGGCAATATGGATAAGTTAAAGGTTTCCTGGTACAAAGGCTACCTAAGTGCTGAGGAATGTCTATCAAGGGAGGGCTTGCCGCACACTGAGACTAGTGAGGGTCGGATTCCTGGAGAAGTAGGTGTCTGTGGAACTTGAAGGGAGGAATGGGAGAGGAGACCGTTTCAGGTGGGGAGAAACAGGATGAGTAGTAAGACACTGGTACTAATTTCTAAGATGTCTGGCTGGCTAGAGAAGTTGGCTTCAGAGTTTTAAGATCTCAGTGTCTTTTTGACTCAACCAAATACTAAAAAAAGATGAATGTCTACCTTACTCAGGAGTCCCTGGGTGGTAAAAATGGGTGACATTCTCAACTGCTAACCTAAAGGTGGTAGTTTGAGTCCACCCAGAGGCACCTCGGAAGAAAGGTGGTACGATCTACGTCTGAAAAATCAACCACTGAAAACTGTATGGAGCACTGTTCTGCTCTGACCCACATGGGGTTGCCATGAGTCAGGGGCAGCTAGTCAGCAACTGGTTGACCCTACCCACCTTTCACAGACATTCATTGCAACAGTGACGAGGAGCAGCACCTGTATCAGTCAGTCAGCTTTAGCTCCCGAGGAAACACAGTTTCCATTTAAAGCAACAGAAAGCTTTAATTTGTGGTGTGATGTTATCTTTTCTTCTATAGAAAAAAAAACTATGAAACTATGATTCCTGATTTCTGTAAGTCCAGAGTCTGGAGAATTCTGCATGCCCCCCATGCTCTCCTGTTCAGATAGAACTCCTACACCTACATGGAAAGCCTCAGGGGGGATAATGGAGTAAATTCATTGGTGAAGACAAACTGGATCATGAGAAAAAAAAATGTACCATGTTAACTGTCAATGTTACTGTTAGCTGCTGTCGAGTCAGTCCTTGACTCATGGCAATCCCAATAGCATGAAGCTAAGCACTTACTTCTGCCCCTTTTTTGCCTAGAATCCACATCTCCGTGCAAATCCCACACCAGGACGGAATGCTGCCTCTGATCTCCACCATGCCGTTGCACAACTTGCACTTTCTGTTATCCGAGTCCATCTACAGACATCAGCATGTCTGCTCCAATCTCGTCACCACCCGCGACCTGAGAGGCATCTCAGGTGAGGGACTAAGTACAGGGCTGGTTTTCTCACTTGAGTCCCACTCAGGGGCCTTTAGGGTTATGGTGAAGTGGGGAGGAACTCTACTGTTCTTGATGTTCTCTGGTCTTCAACATCTACGTGATAACAATTTTCCTTCTTAGCGAGCATCCAAACATAGGCAGCTCGGACTTTGAAAGAATGAAGTGAAGAGAAAAAAGCAAGGACTTTGGAATCAAACTGACTTAGACTCAAAACCTTATTCCACTCTCTATATACAACTTTGAACAAACATAGCTTGACCTCTGCGAGCCACTGTTTTCTTATCTTTAACATCAGAATAACAATTGCTGCCAGCCAAGGTGAGAATGAAATGAGTTGACATTGGTGAAGCACCTACGATGGTAAATTTTAGTTCTCTCCTTCCTGATAGTGAACATGTTTGGATCCATACTCTAAAATCCCATTACACTAGCATCTTTAGAAAGCTAAAGTGCAGATGTTGCAGGGTGGGTTTTCTGGAAGCAGGAGCTGAGATGGAATTTGAGGTAGAAGATGTTTATTAGGGATCAACATGTGCTGAAGGGAAGAGGAGGAAGTAGGATTAGACAGAAGAAGTCAAAAACTGCGATGCAGGACTGACAAAACGTCATCCAACTCAGTGGGAAGCTCTGAAACAGACATTGCCCCTCACACTTGTCCTACCTCCAGCCAAAATGGCCGGGCCTTATAGCCCACCTTGCTCAGACACCGGATGGGCACTGCCCCAGGAACGGCACAGCCCCAGGCACAGCTCCCTGAAGGAGCTGACAGCTGAGCAGCGCATCACAGCAGACATTTCACTTTATGAAGAATCCTGTCCTTTCCATTTACCTTAGCAAGTGCACATTAAAGGCATTTCCTGCCTTCACAGCTAATGAATCATTTAACAGTGTTTTTGAAGATAGAAAGACATTCATATCCTCTTTCATATTCACTAAGCATCACTTTTTGGTAGTAATGGTCTTTAGACAGTCGAAATTATTTGAATGTAAATTGTAATTCACTGAGCTACATGTGAAAGTTTAACTGATAACATATGTAACTAGTGTTTTAAAGACTGAAATTTTGCCCTTTTTCCTACTCAAAAACAATTAAATTCAACATGTATTCATTAAGTACTTCATTCTTGTGAGGCAGAGGGCCAGGTGTTGTATCAAGCATTCTAAGGAATGTATTCATTCTTTCAGACTACTGTACTAGTACTTTTAGTATGATAAAACTTTTAACCCAAATATTTTTTTTCCATTTCTTTTTTTTTTTGTAGTTTATATGAAGTTTACATTTCAAGTTAGTCTCCCATACAAAAATTTATACATACACTATTAGGTGACCCTAATTATTCTCCCCATACTGTGACAGCACACTCCTCCTTTCCACCTCTGATTCCCCATGTCCATTCAACCAGCTCCTAACCCTCTCTGCCTTCCCATCTCACC